AAAACCAGTCATAAGTAGCACGGGTATATTTGTAGCAATAGCCAACAATACATTGTATGGGTCAAAATTATAAATTTTTCTTTTATGTAGTGTAAAAAACACCTTTTTTACCCTGTCAAAATCAGCTCTGTTTTCAGCAAGCCATTTCTAGTCCATGTTGCTTTAAATGCTAATGTGCTCTGCTCACCCCGCCCCTCTCTCCCGTGGGGTGACGAGCAGAGTCAGCAGACTGTGTAAACTTCAGTCGCGAAACTGGCTAACTAATGCTGGGTACACACTAAAAGATTTTTAAAATCTCATTTTCGTGTCAATCCATGTTCATATTTACCGCAAACAATGCGGTAAAGTTACTTTAATTCAGCGTTTGCAGCACAGCAAAAATAGACTCGGTGTGGAAACAATCTCTGCACTGCTGCAGACACACCGCTCCTGGAACGCACTGCCAGACCGCAACCATGTGCAGTGTGCACGATTTATTAATCCGTTAATTTTCCGAGCGCTGAAAAAATACGCACCACATTTGCACTGCAAACGGAGTAATGTGAACCTGGCATTATGTGTGTGCGCTGCGAGTGTGCATGAGCGCACGGTCTCCAGGAGAGCGCGCATGGAGCGTAGCGATAGTTCTGGCAGGCCATGTTAGTCAAGCTCGCATCAGCTGACACTCATAAGGTCCCTTCAGTCATTATTCAGCAGCTATCGCTTCGCTCAGGAACTAATCACCCACCTCCATCCCCAGCTCCTCCTCTCGTCCAGTCAGGATTTGGCAGTGAATATATATCATTGAGTCAGACCACTGAATCATGTTGATAAAATAATCACGTAGAACACTAATGGTATCTGCTACATTTATCATTGATGTTGGTTCTGTTCTGTGACGACTGCTATATTCATTATTACATCCAACAACAAAACACCTCAATCGCTTAATCAGAGACATTCTTGTCTTCCCCTGCACCGGATTGACACAATGGCGGACTGATGACAGCTCACTCAGGGCGGGTCTACGATGGATGTGTACACACACTTCCAACACACATTTATGTTCAAACAACTTGTAAAGTGAATTTCGCATCGCAATGTTTTGATTTTTTTTGCACCCTCAGATTCCAGATTTTCAAATAGCTGTATCTCATCCAAATATAGCCAAATATTATACATCATTTCAGATGATGTATAAATCTCAATTTCGAAAAATTGACCCTTATGCCTGGTTTTGTGGTCCAGGGTCACATCAATGATTTGCAGCCATTGATGATGTATAAATCTCAATTTCAAAAAATTGACCCTTATGCCTGGTTTCATTAAAATTTAGATTTCATTAAAATTTTAAATAACTCTTTTAATATATATTATATGTAAGTTATTCCTATGATGGCAAAGATTTTCAGCAGCCATAGATGATGTATAAATCTCAATTTCCAAAAATTGACCCTTATGCCTGGTTTTGTGGACCAGGGTCACATCAATGATTTGATGTTTACTACACTTTATAGCTGCTGTAAACATGTCTCATCATGATAAAAATGGATTTAGAAAACCTTTTTATTTCATGTTCTTATTAGCCTAATGGATTACACTTACTTAAAATAAATATTTAGCAAAATATTTTTTAATCCAAAATTGCTATCAAATTAAAGCCATATGTCTAAATAAGATATGTTCCAAATCTGAAGGTGATATAAAAAATTGAGGTTCCTGTGAGATTTTATTTAGGGCGTTATACCACAAAAACAGCCACCGGGTGCCAGTCAAACTCCATTGAATTTTTTTAATGCATTTTTCTGTCACAAATGTCTAATTTTCTCTGTCAATGTTACGCGCATCACAAAATTTCCAACGATATGTATTTTGTCAAGATTATAAAAAGTTTTGATTCTAAAAGACCATAATACATTTTGTAATATGACACTTGACACCGCCTACTAAGGGGGAGGAGACTGCCAAAAGATTTTAAAGCACCATTTCCATGGTAAAGCAATGTCCGGTTTAACAATGGTTTTCACAGTATGAATTTTGAGGTTTTAAGCTTTCAAATGATATATAATTTCTGATGCTTACTAAAATATGTGATGGGGAAAAAAGACCACAAAAAAAGAGCCCCAATGGGCCCACAGGTGGGCCAGTGACACTTAAGTGGTTTTAAACATTTATTTATTTATTGCTCACCAAAAAAGATCTGTGACTCAAAACCTTGATCTGAGCCATGAGTTTTGTGATCCGTTGCACCCCTACTCTCTTGACTTGTTATTTGAAGAAAAAATACAATCACTGAGGTTTTCAATCATGCTGATTTGTTCACTGTGAAGTTCAGCCGATATCTTTTTTATTCTGGCTAATTAATTCATTTTGGTTGACCAAACTCTGAAGAATGCCTGCCCGAAAGGCTACCAGGGATCTTGAAATCTTGCGAGCCCTTATGCACAAACTGTTATTGTTAATAATAATAGTTGAATTGGTGCGAGATCTGTGCTGTTAACACAGTTTTCTGTCTCAGGTAAAGGTGAACCAGTAACCAGAGCGTTACATTGATCATACTCCTGCTTCCAGTGTATTCAGCCCCACAGAGACTCTACCGGAAATTAATGTACTGTAGCTGTGGATGAAAAGAGTCTGCTAGACCAGGTGTTTTCAAACCGGGCTCCTGGGGACGAGACGGTTCTATTTTACAGTAAGAAAATAGTATAGTCCAAAATATAAAGCAAATCGAGCAAGGCTATACTCTGATCCATGTACACTACCTATCAAAGTTTTTTTTCTTTTCTTTTTTTTGAAAGAAGTCTCTTATGTTCATCAAGACTAAAAATTAAACAAGATTAAAAATACAGTAGAAACAGTAAATTTGTAAAATGTCATTCAAATTTAAAAATAACTATTTTAATACAGTATATATTAGATGTAAGTTATTCCTATGATGGCAAAGATTTTCAGCAGCCATTCTTTAGTGTCACATGATCATTCAGAATTTTTTTTTTTTTTGACTATTTCAATATTGTTTATATTTTTGCAGAAAGCATAATTTTTTCAGGATTGTTTGATTAATTGTTCAAAAGAACCGCATTTATTTATTTATTTTAATGAAAGAAAAAAAAATATTCTGTGCCACTAAAACGAGTTTTAACACCGCAATACAATGGTAACCTGCTGTATTTCAGTGCAGGTAAGTGTAAATCATACAAGACACTGCCATCTAATGGACAGATTGCGTCACTACTGTTTTCGGCAATAAGGTTGCAGAGCCTGATTTATAAATATGTCTGCAGTTTTGAACAAATTTAGCATTTTTTCATCTCTTTCTTCTTCTTTTTTATGGAGCCTCATAAGTGTCTGATTTGGAACACTCTACAATGGTAGCAAAATTGTGTGCCGCACAAATAGTGCTTTAAATAGCTTGAATTAATTTTTTCCCCCACAGAGCTTGTTGCAGTGCATTATGGGATTGTGTTCTGTGTAAAAGGAACAGTATGCAATATGCATCTCTTTATCTAGACTCACTGTTTTCTGGATGATGTTGTTTTTGTTCAGGATGGTTCTGTGTGTAATGGTCACATAGTAGTAGATTCAGCCAACAGCTTGGCAGAAAAACAGGCAGAGTTTTTTATATATATATATATATATATATATATATATATATATATATATATAAAAGAAATTGACTTCATCCAAATCTAATCTTATATTGTTAATATTAATATTCCAGTTACCTATTACCATACGCTATGTTAAAAACATTAAATTGTGGACTTTTGCTCTCTTACTGCTATAAAGCTTGATAAAACGTGAAGCTAATAATACATCAGCTGCTCAACAGGTGCCTTTGATCTGTACAGTAACAGACTTGCTTTGCAAAGCTCACCGCCAGAAACCAGAAGAAAAGCCAGTGTTTAATTATTCATTCACATCTACTCAGTGTTTTGGTACAGCTGGAAACAAACAGGCCGTTGTATAAACACTAAGAGCACCAGTTAAATTGTTCCATTTTGTTTTCCAGGTCAAGCAAAGACAAATCAAGGGGTGTATAAAATCGATCCCTGAGGGAAAACAAGCAATGATACGACATTCAAACAGTGATTTCTAAAAGAACTTAAGAATGTGTTTGAAGCCATTTCCATTATAAAGTCTGTTCAGACTCTAAGGTTTGTTTAATCTGATGTAGATAAAGTCCAGGGCAGTTTTAAACGTGTCACCTTTCGCCTGAGTTATTAATTCAATAGCCCAGGATCACATAAAGAGAATAATCCCATGATACACTGTTTGTCATTCATGATTATTCAAATAATTTGCATTGAGTGGTTTGATAGCAGGTGCCACAAAGAAGCCCGACTCTTAAGAGTCCACACAGTAGACAAAGTTGCCAGGTAACCAGACATGAAAGTAAGCGCATTTTGATATGATAGTTACACAAATGTTTCTTATCATACGTCAACTTCTATCACGCAGAAGCAGTTTATAAAATCCTGATGCTAATGGTGCAGTTCCTGTACAAAGAACAGTAGATTTTCGATGGCTTTATTTGAAAAATACACACCATTCACTTCGCTTCCTTTTCTCTATTTATATCATGATGTACTGTATTACAAAAACACTACAAACCACAGGAGGATTCAGACTACACAGACATCAGGCTTGTTTCAGAGATATGAGGTTAGCGTGACATAGTTCTCACCAAAAGATTCCCAAGAACTCAAGCGTCCTCTTTGAGGCACAGAATGTAGATGAGTTAACTTGAACGATGTTCAACATGCAATTCACTAGAGCCTAACGAAACTGAAATAACATCTAAGCAGAACTTACATATAAATATTAAAAACAAATACAAATCAATAGTGCCAAGTTACGCATTTGAAATTAGAGAGGAATATTGATTTCAGTATTACAGAGTGTTCGTTTTTGCTCAAGTTGCACACATTTTCAGAATACTACAGCAGGATGGTCTTAAACATTTAATCTCACATTTCTTATTCAGTTACAGCCAATAATATGTCCAGAGAAACTGTTTGGTGTCACTGTTTATTGGAGTCGGACTGGTGCCATCTGGCGCTTCTGATACATAGTGAGTACTGAAATTCACAACACATGGCAAACAAGTAAACTAAAATGGACAAAAAGTGTTAAAACATGAAACATTTAAGCGTTTGAATGCTGAAAAGAAGAACTGTTTTCACAAACACTCGGCACAATCCACAATGGGAACACTGCAGAAGCAACATCGAGGCCATTGCAGGCAGGAAACGGGCCTCATCCTGCGGTGGTCTTATGGAGAATTTCCAAAGATCAGCAGCTCAGCTCAGTGGAGGCAAAACCACAAGTGATGAGTTGAGTGCTTGCTCCTGTATAAATTGCTTTTCAAATAACGAAAAGTACACTCATTTTTCAAATATGTGGCTTTTCAAAAAAGTCAGCAATACAAATGCACTTTTTTCCTATTTGGGCAGTTGGTACCAAAATAAATTAATTTCTCTTGTACAAATGTAATCAAGTTATCGATATACTGAAGCCTATGAAAATATTATTTGGTTATTTAAAACTTGTGACCCCCAAGTTAGTCCTTTTCTCAATGGTTATCTGAAGCCTCAAAACCTATTTTAGGGTTGTTTTTCCAATATAAAATGATTCATATACAAAACAAGAATAACAATAGGTTTGAAAATCTGTAGCTTTGAAATAATGACAACAGCTAAACACTTTAGCTGGAACCTGATACAATATTTATCTTGGCATACTATTACTATATATTGCACAGTATATATTATGTACAGCTGTGCGGAGTTGAACTGTAGGCCATCTAGTTACTTCATAATAAATAGCGACCTTTTCCTTGATTTGCTCTTTCAATGCAAACAGCCCAGAGAGAAATCTGCAGTTCTGCTGCATTTGTCAGTGTGCTTAAGTCTATGTACAGAACTCCAGCTGCTTGTGTCCATTCGCAGGGCTGATGGGATACCAGAGGATGTGCCGCAGATCAGCCTGTGGTGAGATCATTATGAGGGGCCTCCAAAGTCTCAGCGATTTCACCCAACTCGTCTTGAAGCTCTGAGAAAGAGGGTCTTCGGAAAGCCTCTATCTGCATGAGAAGCAACAACAGTCAATGGTAACACTTTACTTCCTTTTTCAAAGGATTTGTTAGTTTTTAGGCATAACTGACAGAGGAAATGTGTGTCCATTTGATATACACGAAAGGTAACAAGGTCACTTACCAGACAGCAGCTGGCTGCCAACTCTAAAAGACGCTGAGGACACTCACTGACCATTTTCCCAAATGCTGAAACGTCCAGGCCGTAGTCCTGCAACACACACAATCATAAATGTGTAGGTGGACAGTAGGTTTTTTTTGTTTTGTAAAAAATTGATACTGGATGTAATATTTTCTGGCATTTCCAAAGCGTCAATAATTCTATTTCTGATCACCTGTGTTCTTGGAAGGATTTCTGGGTCTGCTGGGATCCTAGCCAGAATTTCACACAAAACAATTCCAAAAGAGAACACATCCACCTAGCGTTAAATAAAGCAAAATCTGAAGGTGAGAACTAGAAAATGCTTTAGAACATCACGTACATAAGACCAACATTTCACATCTTGCTCTGTATTTTTGAGCCATTACCTTGCGGTCGTAGGGCTCCCCGCGCAGCATCTCAGGGGCCATCCAGAAAGCAGAGCCTACAAGTGAAAGCTTTCTGTCCTTTGCAGGAAGTTCAACCACCTCTCGAGCCAAACCAAAATCAGTAACCAGAGCTTCTCTGCCTCTCGCTGTCACCCTTATTAGACAATTCTTTTGGAGACACAAACACACAAAGATGTTTTGATGCAAAATGAGTATTTTTAGTCTCTTTGTACTATTACTAGTGGTTTATTCTCACTCTTGGGACTATAAAATATAATGCAGTAAAATATAATAAAGTAAAAAAGTAATATTGTGAAATATTATTCCAGCCATTACTCCATTCTTCAGTGTCACATGATCTTTCAGAAATCATTCCAATATGCTTATTTGCAGCTCAAAAATATTTCTAATTTATTAAAGTATTAATTTATTTTTAAAAAAAATCTAATTGATCTCAAAACTTTTAAACTGTACTGTATATACGCTTCATTTTCGCTAATAAATAATTGCATGTTATGAATTAATCTTTCTTTCTTTTTAAATAATGTCATATAATTCATTAAAAATATACCAGATACAGACATGCAAAAAAACCACTACTTGTGCCTTGGGTTACAAAATTATTTGAAGTGAATGTGCTGTCCTCTGCCAAATGGCGGCGCCAAAAACCAGCAGAACGTTTCTAAACTCATTATAATCTCCCACAAAAACTCTTACATAGCATTTCCGAAATCTGAACTTGTCTAGTACCAAATAACCTTCATATGGCAGACATTAATATTACAGTTTCCAAATGAACACAAACCAAATTCAAAGTTTGAAGCTGTGCGGACTGACTTGTTTGTGGACTTTTTGTGTGAATGTAAACTGGAATTAATAAGCATCTAAATGCAATACAGATAAAGAAAAATACAATACAAGCATAAATAAGATGCATGTTTGCAGTTTTGTGGTTTAGTATCTGTAGCATGTCTGTAATGTTCTTCTGAGACGATGTGCCTGGCGGCTGAAGCAGAACACCCAGGCTCAAATGAAAGACGTTTTTCATCATCACCGTCTCCATTTAATGAATTATTCAGCTGACCCTGTACCTTGCCAAAGGGTCCGGACCGCCTACAATTCCTCTCCTCCATCTCTAGCACTCCAGGGGTACCAATATGCAATGTTATACCTCGCTTCCAGTTTGAATGTCTCTAGTGATGATGTGTCATGGCTAAAAACATTACCATGTAGTCTGAAAACTCAGTTTAAAGGAAAATGATTGACGGTGTAATAAAAATGGCCTGTTATTTTAGAAGAAAGGCAAATGAGGAAACATTGAGGCTGACCAGAGCAGGGGGAATCCAGGTACAACCGAGACGTTACATAAGACCAGTGGGACTCTTGGAGCAGAAAGTGCTGATGGATACAACAGTGAGTTCTGCATCTGGACTGAATTAGAAACCTCAGCTAAGCCTCCATCCCAAAAACTGACCTATGATTATAGGACTAAGAAACTCTAAGCACAGCCCCGAGTCTAGAAGTCTCCAAATTTAGAACTTAGTAACTCATGCATATGCCAAGTGTTGCAACACCCTCTGGCTATGCAGCTAATGGGTGGGTTTGAAAGAAAGGCACTGAGGTTGTTTGATTCAACATAAAATCAACAACAAAAAACCATACAATTATAATAATTTAATTCTAGTAATTATATATAATTATTATAATGATAAGGAAATATTGTGTAAAAAAAATAAAATAAAATAAATTGTTAAAAAATCAAGTGCTTGGATAAAAATACGATACTGGTATATGTTCATAATTTTGCACTTAGAAAAGTTAGAGCTGCTGTTGTCCAGGGTTATGATAGTTAAATAAAACTAAAATCTAATTAAAACCATAAACAACATTTTCATTACTTAATTAGTAAAATATGTATTTGTTTGCCAAAGCACCATTGTACTAAAATACTGAAATAAAAATTTACAAGAACACTAAAACTAAAATTAAAATAAAAACAAAAAATAAAAAAATGATTCAAAATATTAACAAAACTTATAATAGTATCTCAATGACACTAAAATAATACTGTTGTTGAAAAAAAAATTTTTTTTTAATATATATATATGAATCTTTTTTTTTTCATATAGAACATTTTTAGACAGTTGATTTCATATAGATAAACATACAATAAATGTTTTAATCGGACCATAGAAGATCATATTTAGATCTTGTAGTTCTGTGACATTTTATGCTATTCAGCATGTGAACCCTTTCACCCCCTCTTAATTAATGTTCCAAATGCAAGTACTTAAAAACACCAGTTTCAGGGAACCAGTCTTGTGGGCTAATTTTCATTTTTGGGTGAACTAACCCTTTAATAGCTTCTATTTTCTGACACAACTTCCCATAGTCATACCAACTTCTGCCAACTTGCAGTGCAGTGGAAACCAATCGATGGTCCTACTAACCAAAGTGCTAGACGTCACGATTGTGTACATTGTGTGGCTGGCATTTTTGTTTGGCCATTGTTCATATCTGAATGGCTGACAAATAGGCAGTGGCACAGAGACGAGGCCTGGCTAAAAACTAAAAGGGGGGGTATAGGATCTGCGAGCCTATACACTGTTTGTGCATTTTCAAATGAGATGGGAAGGGTTAGGGAGAGTGTGTGTATGTGACAGAGAGAGAAAGACTGAGTGGGAGAGTTTATTACCATTACAATGGACTAGCCTTGTTGCCTCGCCCCTCACCCCAGGTTTGGTGAGCACTTGTGTGAATCCTGGCAACCAATGACACTCTCACGCAAACATCTATGGCTGTATTTCTCAGGGGAGAATTCCATGTAAAGACTAGACAGCCATTCTCTAATATCTGATGATTACTCAGAGGAACTGTATATAAACCATTTCACACTGCACTTCTCAAAGCATCACTCAGTTGGTCACTAAAGACGTGTGTTATTGAGAGTCCTGCTGTACCTTAGAGTTCAGATCTCTGTGGTAGATGTTCTTGTAGTGGAGGTAAATCATCCCTCTGGTGATGTCAGAGGCCAGCTCTACTTTCTCTCTCCAGCATAGAGGCACATCTTTCCTGGCCAACAGCTCCTCTAAACATCCTCCACTAACATACTGTACAGACAAACAGTCCGTAAGGGAATGAAACAAATATACACTTTTATTGCTCTTGATATGTGCAGGGCTCAGCAATAAGGATCTCTCTGGGGCAAATATAACAACATAAAAAACACTTTACAATAAGGTCCCATTTGTTAACATTAGTAAATGCGTTCATGTATATTAAAGAATTTATGAATCTTTGTTAATGCTACTAAAAAAACTGCTCATTGTTTGTTCAAGTTAGTTCATAGTGTATTAACTAATGTTAGCTACAACTTTTGATTTAGGCTAATATTAATAAATTCTGTAGAAGTTTTATTTATTGTTAGTTAATGTTAACAAATGAAACCTTACTGTAAAATAAAATAAAATAAATAATAATAATAATCCTGGTAAAGGCTCATAATTGTTCGCTCCATGGCAGATGAAACACAGAGCTGTTGTTGGCAACATTTTTAAATGTATTACTCATTTCTGCTACTGATTTTAGGGAGCTGATTTCTTATATAATGTTGTATTATGTAACTAATATACATGAAAATACAGCATATGTTTCAATTTAATTTCATTGTGTATGTCTTTATAAAATGTGCACATGTAATTATTTATTGGTAGTAAATTTTTTATCTTTTGCTAAATATAAAATATATTTTCTGACACATAAAACATTTTAAAAGAAAAGCAGAAAAATTCTTATTGTTGAGCCCATCAAGTGTACAGTTTCAAAGCATCACATCTATATGATATTTCAAAAATCTAACTGTACAATTGTACAGTCTAATGCATAAAATAAACTCAAACTGCGAAACAAACTTTTTAGTTTTGAGGCTGAGAAAACAGAGATCTCACCTCCAGAATTGGGTACAACTTGTCCTCTTTGACACAAATACCCAGATACCTGGAAAAAGAGATGTGGGAGGTTATGAGCCGTTCCCTAAATCTGCCTTGTCAAGTAGGTTCAGCCTAAATACAGTCCAAAGCCCCTGTCATTTGTCAAATGCCCAACAATTGAGCAGAAACTGAAAATTAGGTCAATTTGATGTTAAAACGATGTTCAGGTTTTCACTTGATGTTTTTAGTAACATATTAGAAAACCATGAATTAGTTAAGCAGTAAATGTAATATGTCAGTGTGTCATGGTGACCTCATGCGGTTTCCGTCACATTCAGCAGTTCTGTTCATGGGTTAACATGACTGTCATCTGTACTGAGGTGATGACAGCTGGCAGTAACTGGAAAGCTGTGTTAAATTAACACTGCACAGGCAGTTTTGAATATGGCTTTGTCCTTCCGCAACGCACTGGAAAAAGCCATTCTGAGATTGCTAAGACAAACACGCGTCATAGTGCAAGATTAACAGCAGTTTAAGAGCGCTGTGCTGGACAGAGCTTAGTGTGACTTGTAACCTGTACAAACAGTCTTGTATGTATCTAGCATGTACATCTCTACAGGGGTTTGGAAACACCTACTACTCATTCTTCATTATTACTGTTTAACTGTTTTAGAATACTAACAAGGGCAAAAACCTCTAAAATAACACAAAAGGAAGTTTGGAAATGACCAAAAAAACAATTAAAACCATCTTATATTTTAGCTTCTTCAAAGAAGCCTCTATTTGTCTAGATTGCAGCACTGCACACTCTTCATGAGCTTCATGAGGTGCATCCTGGGATACATTTTAAACACCAGCAGACAATTCTGTGATCAAATTCATTAATTTGATCAAAACAAAACAAAAAACTCATTGCAAAACTTAAAGCAAAATGCCGCCGATTAAAAGGTTTTGAAGATAACAAAAAATCAGTCTGGTGTATCCAAACATTTGACTGGTGGTGTAACTACATAGCATACTGTACAAATAAACCTTCATGAGAATGGAAAGTGTAAATAATAGGCCTGAACATCTATTAGGCATTTAGATAATGGAGTTACATGAGAAACGTATTAAATAATAAACATATATGATGAATAAAAAATAAATAAGAGTTACAGTTTATGACGAGTTATTAATTAACATTAATAAGTGGCTTACCTCACTATGTTGGGGTGTGAGAGTTTTTGCAGAAGGCTGATTTCTCGTACAATGCTGTCTTGATCAACATCATTCTTATAGATCTTTACTACCATCACCTTCCGTGTGGTATTGTGTATTACCTGAAAATAAATGAAATAAAATGAAAAACAGAATAGGGAATGAATCTTCAAGTGGTATTAAAACATTTGGTCATACTTTATTTTAAGGTCCAGTTCTCGCTATTAACAAACCATTAACAATAAACACCCAATTTGCTGCTGCTTATTAATAGTTAGTAAGGTAGCTGTTAAATTAAGGTATTAGGTAGGATTAGGGATGTAGAATATTGTCATGTAGAATATGTGCTTTGTAATATTTGAAAATCTGGAATCTGAGGGTGCAAAAAAAAATCTAAATATTGAGAAAATCGCCTTTAAAGTTGTCCAAATGAAGTTCTTAGCAATGCATATTACCAATCAAAAATTAAGTTTTGATATATTTACAGTAAGAAATGTACAAAATATCTTCATGGAACATGATCTTTACTTAATATCCTAATGATTTTTGGCATAAAAGAAAAATCTATAATTTTGACCCATACAATGTATTTTTGGCTATTGCTACAAATATACCCCAGCGACTTAAGACTGGTTTTGTGGTCCAGGGTCACATATGTTAATAACAGGCATGCTAATAACCAACTAGTTAATAGTGAGAATTGGTTCTTATTCTAAAGTGGTGCCAAACATTCCTTTCTCTCTCTAAAGTACAATCACAGCGAAAAACACTTCCATGTTAATATACAGGAAGGGACAGAACTGCTGGGACGGTTGAGCTGTGCAATCATCGGTTATGTAATTTACACAGCAGGGACTCATCAGGAACCCATTAATGGCTATAGTGTACTCCGGCACGGGGGCCACCTCAAACTGGGCTTAGCTGTAAAATATGTCCTAATTAGTAGGACTACAATACCGCACTGTATGAGTGCCATTAAGATACACACACACATACAACACACACTGAGAGACTTTCATTTACTTTCATTTTACACTGCTTTATTTGTTGTGGGAACATTTTTCAACAGCCAATGTGTTAAAGCACCAAGGAGACAAATCTGTCAAAAATTTCTTAGCACTTACTGTACATATATTATTTACTGCATATTTAGATATCACTTACAGATTCATGTCATCAGATTCAAGATATTTTAACTGTTACCTTGTAAACCTTTGAGAAGAAGCCACTGCCAATCAGCTCATGTGTGAAGTTCTCCCAGAATTCTAGCTTGCGGACGGCTGTGCGTAGCTTCTGCCAGCGGTCCACATGGCAGTATGTATCAGAAGACTCTCGATACAGCGTCGGGCTGGTGGGCTCAGACGAAACGTCCACCTCACACATCCTGGAGATCTCTGCTGAGAACCCACCACACAAACACAGTGTTGAGAAAAGCACCAAAGCTTTCCCGAGAAGTGTTTTCAAACAACTCCGAGGGAGAATGGGATGTTAAAAAGTTTTACAATTACAGAAAAACACTTTCATAATCTTTTAAATCAAATAATTCTTTGTAAAAACCCTCAGAAATTATTTAGCCAGCACAAAGCTTTAAAAATTAGTAGCTGGTTTCTGAAGGCAGCAGCGTTTATAGATGAAAGTGAAGCTCGGGTTTGAAGCTCACAAGTACTCGATTAGCTCAATGAGTAGGAAGGCTCTCGTCTGCCACGGCAGGGTATAAAAGATGTCTTAAAATAGTCGTGGACAGCATGCAGAGGAGGACAGATTCAACTGTTCTTGATCGAAACAGAAATGAGACATCAACAACTTACAAACAATTAAGACAAAAGGTGAAGACTGCAGTTTACTGTTGGGTTTATTGAGACATATTGTACAGATGCATTTAAAAAGGTAGTTTGTGGAAAAAGTTAAATTCTGTCATTATTTGCCTTCACGTCATTCCAAACTTCAAAGAATCCTGAAAAATATAACAATTTCCACAAAAATATTAAGCAGCACAACTGTATTTTTTCAGCACTGATAATAATAGATAATAATATTCATATTTAAATATTTACTACTCTTTATGTAAATATTTATGTTTATCTTTTGATCCAAGATGTACTATTTGTATTGCTACTGGTGTTTTGTTAGATACTGGACATATTTCAACTACTGCCCGAGTGCTAATGTTTCTCAGAATTAGTCAGTAACACTACGAGATGTTCTTTTCTAGACACTGTGTTTTTGTAATTTAAGATGTGATATTTCAATATTGAAAACCACACATCTATATTTAACTGCAACATTTGACAGGTCACGATGACCTAGCCTGATCTGCCCTATAGTCATTAGAAGAACAACATATGACATAATGGAATAAAGTCTATTTGAATGTATATATGCAAGGAAACAGGAACAGCAAAATAATATATATATATATATATATATATATTTCCTTGTGCTTATTTCTTTACTCTTTCTTCTCCTTTTTGCTTCTTTTGCAGTTCGGTTTGCTTTCGGTACAGCAGGGGGGAAAAACTAAACATAAAATTGCTTCTTTTTAAAAAAAAAATAAGCAGTGGTTTACTGAGCAAATAGCTCTTTCTTTAAATAAATTAAATAATAATTAAAAATTAACTAGGGATAAAAATCTACCCCAGCTTATGCTCTAAACTATAGTGAGCCCCTTTACATTACTATAGGGTTACAATTAACAACAGAGCCCAAACTTAAATTTAATTACTATGTATTTTTAAATATAATAATCAACACTCAACTTAAAAATTGTATGCAATCATGTAAATTGCACATAATGCAGTTTTTAAATTAACTTCTAAATTACTAAATTTCTATTTGTTGTTGAAATATATTCATTTTCACAGTGGCTGTCATAACTTGTTTCATAACAGATTTATTTAAACACATCAAATAATTAAGACATCACTAACAGGTAAAGTAAAATATAATAAGTATATAGTCTAATATTTCACAAAATGCTCTTCTCTAGACTTAATTTCTGTAGCCAATTAATGAGCTGTGGACACTGATGACTTGCCTGATGTAAATAAATGCTACGCGATTTTTGTTTTTGCATTTTTTTTTGCGGTTGCATTTTGTTTTGACATCTTTCCGTGGTTGAAACACTGATTGTGTGATTACATGAGGCATGATGAGATGTTTATTCATGTTTATTTGTGCAGCCGTTTAAGCTGAGGCGTTTAGCGATCTGTCACGCCTCACCAAAGAGCGTCAAAACGGCATTTATTGTTTGAATTTCCTGAAAAAAACTGACATAATTTGAAAGATGAGACTTTGTTTCTTATCAAAAGTAACAATATGTGGAAGTTTCCAATGAAGCTCAATTTGTGCAGTGGTTAAAACAATGCTGTATCTGTTCATTACACATGCGAACATTTTCGGTACGAATACATAGGCCTATACCGTTACAAAATGCAGCCGTTACCCCGGAAACCCTGTAAACAAAGCAGCTGCACTACTTTCTGTCGTGTTTAAATGATTTAAACAGCCATTCAGATTTGTGTATTTGCTATGATGTTCATCACAGCGCCAATTTTATTTATTACAGTATAAAATTTCAAAATCTGTAATTTTTTAACTAAATTGCAATATCGTGATAATACCGAATACCGTGCTAAAAGCATTAGCAATTAATCGCAACATGAAAATTTGATACCGGCATATCCCTACACACCACTATAAAATAGATCTTAATTTTGTTTAGAGTTTAATTCTTTTATTGTATTAATAACTTTTATTTAACACATTTGTTATTCCTTCTTCTAAAATTGATCTCTGACATAGTAATTTACTCGACTGCCTGGATCTTACTGCATCTTTTCCTGAGGACCAAAACAGCATACAGTAGGCCTATTAGAATGAATTCTGAAGTGTCTTGTGACACTGCAAATGAATCAATTTCATTTAAATTGTAATATTTCATATTATTCAAGTTTTTTACTGTATTTTTAAGCATATAAGCATTTGAAAAGCCTCTAAGTGCCGTTTGGAATTTTCTTCTAAAATGAGCGTTTTTATCAGGCTCCTATATTTATGTTCAGTTATTTCACATTAATTGCATAGAAAAGGACATATACATTGCCATTAGAGTAAAATAACTGAACCTAAACATAGGAGCCTGATTTTACAGTATATGAAAATTTCAGATGGCACTTAAGAGGCTTTTGCATCTGAACTCTTCATTTATATTTTTAAGCAAACAAATTGAGCCTTGATGAGCACGAGACTTCTTTCAAAAACATTTAAAAATCTTACCAACCACAAACTTTTGAACAGTAGTGTGCTTGTGTATATGGTGGGCGTCTGAAATCTAAACCCAGACAGGATATTTGCAACATGGAATCAACATGGTCACACATCACTGTGGTTTTCTTGTGAGGCTGAGCAGTAAGTTGAAAAACTGCACAAATTCAGCCTCTGGAGAAAAAAAAACAGACCTTACAGCAAAGTAAAACAGTAATCTTTAACTTTACGTGTTGTGTGTCATCACGGTGTAATATCTGATAACACACACAATCTATTGTGAGTCAGTTTACACTTTGTGCATGTAGGATTTGCAGTCTAGACCTGTGTTTACAACTTAATGCATCAGTATTTCCATGTTGGGGAGACACTGAGAATAAAGTAGGGCGTTGAAGTCAATGGGGATTGTCATCACAGGCCAATGTTGCTGCTGGGGAACAGCACAGAGTGGCACGCTTACACAACCCTCGGGAATCATCTAGCAGTATTCATCATGAGTAGAGCGCACACATGTGGTCTTTGTGTTTCCAGCAGCAGATGCACAATCACAGCCCTTTCAGTTTTACAAACTCACTAAAAAGCAAAACGCTTAGAGTGTAATCCTGACAGGTCTCTGTCTGTTTCACTCAAAGTCTTTTTCATCTAGTGTTTTCTGTATTTATTTCCAGAACGATAAAAAAAATGTAATTTCAGTAAATCTGGACTTTTTTGTGCAAGCTTACATGAATAACAGCATTCAAAACAACATTTGACCTCCGGTGAAGCTTGAGTATATGATATATTCTGAAAACAATAATAAAAAATAACAAAAACTAGTGCGGTCAAATGATTAATCGTGATTAATTGCATCCAAAATAAAAGTTTTTGTTTACTATATGTATGTGTACTGATTTATTATGTATATATAAATAAATACACACACATACAGTATATATTTTGAAAGTATGCGAGAAAAAAAAAAAGAGAGAAAAAACACACTATAGATCAAGCATGCAAACTGATTTAGTTTTAGCCAAAAACCACAAGTTAACACTGCAGTGATAAAATTCACCAATGAAAGTGGACTCAACCTCACACTTACTCTCAGAGGAAACATCTAATCATCTAAGTTGCAGCTGACGTCTGGCACTGTAGAGGAGACTCAGGGTTTGTGAAATATGCGGGTCAAAGGGAGACACTGACTTAAAGTTTACACAGTGCGCAGCACGTCAGAGAATGCCGTCACAAGGCTGCAACCCGACTTCACATGCACACGAGAGGAAATCAACCCTCAACTTTTACAGGAAGACTGATGCTTCAGCACGCAGAGCTAATAAGTAGAAGCTATGAATTACATTAAAACTCCGAAATACTACACGTAGATTTTTTTAAAAATAAAAAATTATAATTTATAACTCTTATAAAACAATAAACCAAAAAAAATTTAAAACTAGTTGTTTAATGTTTTATAATGTTTTTATAAAATTATATTTATTTTAAAAAAATCTACGTGTGGTATTTCAGAGTTTTAATGTAATTCATAGCTTCTACTTATTGTTAATAAACTACAAAACCACAGCTTCAGGTCTTGTATAAGCACAAATCTGAGAATTATTTTGATCTATTTTGATCTTTTTTATCATGATAATGCAGCAGGCAGCAACATGGAGTTCATTAGCATTATTTATTAGTCTAATGACTCTCCTCTGCAAGGGTCACAGATCTGCTCTTTGCATCACATAAACACTCCATATTTGATGTGATTCACTGATTAACATCAGAACAGGAAGCATGTGGCATGTTTACAACCTTCAAAGGGCAGAAATGTGAAAAGCATGTCCAAATTTAGATATTAGTTTAAATTAGATTTTAGATTTGTGACTTATCCAGTGTTATTTTATTATTATTATTATTATTTCCCTTTAATTTCAGTTATTATATATACATTCTATTTAGCTTTCTTTTTCTTTTGTTTTTAGTTATTTTAATACTTAAATGGATTTTATTTTTGTTAGTCGCCAAGACAAAATTTCTAATTTTCATTTAAGTTTCATCTAATATTTATATTTTATTTTTTTCAACTAACAATAACAACACTGACCTAATTTTTTATTTGAGTATAGAATATGTTGTAAAGGTCAGAACCCTTTGCTACCCTTTTGCTATATGGTTTCTTTTACAAACTGATAAGAGAAAAACATTTTTGTATATAGGTGCAGATCTACCAGAGCCCTATACTATTACATGTACAGTATGACTGTATGTCAGTATGACTGTACCATGCAGTAAACAATTGTGGAGGAATATAACAGCAGAAGCTATTCTTCTTAAGGAGGCAGTAGCAAGAGAAGTAGCATGACACAAAGTCCTGAACTTGCTCACGTCCAGACCAGAACAGAAATGAGACAGTGATAAGAACGTGTGAGTAGATCACATGTTCAAGTCATGAAATTCACACTACTCACACTATAATAAGCATGTACGCACAACATGCCATGCATTTGTTTTTTTGCATTCTTTTGTCCACATCATGACAAGTTCTCTCTCTCTCTCCACACACGGTTTCTCATGTGGCTGCTGGGATTGGTGTGAACTGCAGGGGCAGAAGCTCTAGTCTGTTCCAGACTGGTTCTGTTGGAGAAGAGAGAGCTTTGGCATCACTCCAGACGTCCAGAGATCTCCCCCTCACATTCTCTCCCACTCTCTTTCTCTACACAAAACAACATTCAGCACAGTGGCATACCAAACATCAAAAATGTCAGAAGTCTTGCTGATGCCTTTCTCTTTTCCATCTCTTGTCTGTCTTTTCTTAGAGTTTTGGGAGCACTGGTTCCTGCACGTCCAAACGCAGCATATGGAACTGATCAAACTCACATGCGTGCATGCACAAACTCAATTTTTTAAGCAATTTAGGTGTGATGGCTAGTTGTAATGAGTTTGTTAAGACCGGAGCCCACCTGTCTGGGAAAAATCGATCAAAGGAACAGCAGGAGAAATCTAGTTTCCTAACAATAACTGAATAAAGACTGCTTTGTCACAACGATGTGCTGCTTAATAGGCTGCAGTTGCAAACAGTGACAATATAACTGTGATCCATCATAAGAATGTATTTTTGCTGAACTCATATGTCAGTGATATATCATGTCAAAGCTAAAGCATGGAAAGACTTAGCTTCTGTGAGAGTAAAAATAAACATGATGTGGGAAGAATAATTTTGCTTCTTTGCAAAACAGACACTAAAATATACTAAAGCTAACTAACTAGATATCAGATTTTCTGAATCCTGATAACTACATTAAGTATATCAACCAGCACTGAAATATTATATATACCCTTTTTTAACAATTTGGAGCTGACAAAACAAAAGTTTAAATATTTTTTTTAATAAGTCTTTTATTCTCATTAAGCTTGCATTTTTTAATCAGAAACAGCAATATTTGGAAATATTACAATTTAACATAGCTGTTTTCTATTTGAATACATTTTAAAATTTAATTTATTCCTATGAAGAAAGCAAAATTTTCAGATCCTTCAGAAATCATTCTCATATGCTGATCTGGTGCTCATGAATAATTTCTTATTATTAAAGTTGAAAACAGTTTTGCTGATTAATGTTTTTGAGGAAACCATTATACTTTCTTCAAGATTCTCCAATGAATAGAAAGTTCAAAAGAACAGCATTTAATGCACCCTTGCTGAACAAAACAAACAAAAAAAATTACTGATCCTAAACATTTGAACGACAATATATAATATATATATGTAATTGCTGCTGTGGCATTTTAGAATCAACCATAGCATATCCAGTTGTATGCAAGCACTGTTTTTATTTTATTAGAAGATATCAGTCACTGTCATGCATGCAACTGGACTCCAAGCACATCTCAAGGTTTGATCAACATAAACATCAGGCACTTCCTCAAATCATCTTATCTTCTAAGGTTTGCTTCTTTTTTAATCTACCCTCAACTTTGACTTATTAAATTTTTGTGTTTCACAAGTCTGTGCTCAACATGCATCAACATATTTAGAAAGACAAACAAGACAGTATATGTGGAATGAAGAAGTACTTTTGAGGCTATTATTTTTAGAATTTCTCTAAGTCCTGTGGTGTTTTATATGAGAGAGACAGAACTGGGCAGTGTACTTTTGGAAGTAGATGGAGGAGGAAAACTATGTTTTCCTGTCTCACACCAAAGGGCAGGGAGGATTTCAGCTACGTCAACACAAGGGCACAGACTGAACGATATACACCCTCATGAACAAAAAATAGTGGACTAATATCCATCAAAAGCAAAGACAGCACAATACCAGAAACAATAATAATATTTTTAACTATGGACTCTATGGAAAAACACTGTATGGGACGGACTAAAAACTACTTCTATATTTTTATACATGGAAATATACAACAGCCTTGTCTGAGACAACATCAAAACACTGATTAATGAGACCCTGACCATGGCCACAAGATCAAGAGTGTTAGAGCAAATCTGAACATCTATTCTCCATGCTTCTCTTCAAGGCATTCTCAATGTGAATCCACTAACTTATTCCCAGCCATACTGAGATGAGAAATGCCAAGTGCAGATTATAAAACCCCTCTAATGAGTTAGACATCTCAGTCAATTCATTAAAGGGGTCATATGATGTTGCTAAAAAGAACATTATTTTGTGTATTTCATGTAATGAAATGTGTTTATGCGGTTTAAGGTTAAAAAAACACATTATTTTCCACATACTGTACATTATTGTTTCTCCTCTATGCCCCGCCTTTCTGAAACGAGTCGATTTTTACAAAGCTCATCGGTCTGAAAAGCGAGGTGTGCTCTGATTGGCCAGCTATCCAGTGCGTTGTGATTGGCCAAATACCTCAAGTGTGTGACGGAAATGTTACGCCCCTTACCATATTGTGATGCCTTGTCCCGGCACGACGAGACAAAAACATTAAAAGCCATTATAAACGAGGCATTTGTTGCATCCAGTGGGGACATAATTAGGGATTATAATGAATTAATTATACTGTCTTTTTACGTGTTGCATTGCATCGTTTGGGCGGCTTTATGCAAATCTTCCCACATCGTGATGTAGGTATGTGGGGGCGTGTTAGAACGAGCCGTTTTAGGTAGGCGTGGCTGACTCTTCACTTTTATAAAGAATATCTCTTTGGATTTGAGACTTTAGTCTTTGCAACTTTACAGATCTTCTTTATGCACCAAGAGCTTGTAACACTCCAAAGAGAAAGGAAAAATTTAAATCGCATCATATGACCCCTTTAAGCATTCCATGCATTAAGCAGAGCAAATTAATGCACATGCAGCAGCATGTCTTTATGGAAAGCTAGCTGTTTCATGTAGTCACAAAAACATTGATTAATTCCTAAGCATTCTTACTTACTGCACTGGTTTAATAAACTATTCATGTGCATCTTGAGGTGGGTGGAGGGGCGGTCCGCCTGAGCACACAACACAGACAAAGCTGGGAAGAGCCTGTATGACAGAAGCTATGAGGAAAAAGGACACACATAGAAGCAACCATGAACAGAGACACAAGCACAGAACTGTAACACAAACACTTAAAAACAACACACTGAACCGACATGACATTTTATAAAACAACAAATTAAATTAAATTAAATTACATTGCACACTGAGAGAGAGAGAGAGAGAGAGAACGAGAGAGAGAGAGAGAGCGGTCTGAAATAGTTTATATCTGTAGCACAGCATATTATCAGTCAAAATTGTAAATGAGAACATGAAAATGACAGACGGATGAGTGGGTGGACGGATGGATGGAGCGAGATGCTGTTAGTAAGCAGAAATGTTTTAAACATTACATTTGCACGTGTAGTTTACAATTACTTCAAACACACACAAAACTATTAGAAATTCATCAAGATGCATAACAACCTAGTAACCGATAAAAAAAATAAAAAATCAATCGCTTACTCACAGCAGAAAGCACCCCGGCGTCTTCACCTCCGCTACTACTGATTGATTGCTCACCGATCAAATAAAATCGACTACAAACCCCCAAATACGTTCTACTCGAAGACAAACCGGTGGCATCGCTTGTACCGCGCTTCTTGGAAGGACTTCATTTACCGTCACTCACTCAAACCGACAATCCTCGCGCATAACGAAACCGCCCTCTTCAGACTGACAGCTTCTCGGTAGGGTTTAAAGCAAGCGGTATAGCCTAGATGAGAAATACATGTTTAATGGGCTGTGTGTAGTGGGAGCCAGTTGCCATGACGTCATAATAGTTGAGTTCAGCCCCACCCACCTGTAGGTCTACCGTTGCAAGTGGCTGTGCTTCAAAAGCAGTGAGCTAGCTGCTTACTCAGTCAGAACTAAGTGGTGGGGATTTCGATTCAGTGACTCGATTCTTTTGAATCTTTGACCAAATAGATTCATTTAGTGGCCATTTGCCGTGTAAACAAATTTAATATGCTACAGAAAGTTTAAGGATCAAAAGCGATTCCCTTCAAATGCCAACTCTTAAGATAGACTCACCAGTCATTGTTCAGTCACCAACTCACCAGTCATTGTTCAGTGCCTCTCCGAGTCGTTTAGACACTGATTTGCTCAGAGATTCGTTCAAAGAAAGAGACCGGCGAATAATACAAATATGAATAAGCTGAATTCGTTCACTCAAAAGATTCGTTCAAAACGAACGAGACACATCTACGGCTCAGGAAAACGCCTATGCTTAATCACGCTGTGTGGCTAGGAAGCTCACTGCAACTTTGTAAGTTAACTCTGCCAATCTGCTGTTACACAACATTATGATATTGTGCAACAAACATAACCCAGCGCTTAATTATCATCCAATATAATTAAACAGCCTGAATTTACTTTTCCATGGTGTGTCAAATGCTTTGGTTATTATTATGTTTGAGCAGCCGATTTCCAGCCACAAACTGCACCACAGGCTGTAAATGCAAAAGTGATGATTGACAGCGTTGACCATTTCTGCTTCATACAAACAAACTCACAAATAGTTCTGTGCTCTAAGCAGTAAATTTAATGGACGTGACCATATAGAAAGTAGTTTGATTGTAAATAGATAAATATTAACCACTTCATCTTTAAATAAATATTTTCTTACCAGAACATAAGTGTGTACGTAGAGTGCTACGTTTCCTCCACTCGCTATTTTTAGTGAAACTGCGCCCTCTTCTGTTTAAATCACGCACCAGCATCTCAAAATGTAATACACAGAAGAAACAAGTATTTTTCGCCATCAAAAATAAATATTTTTATTGTTTAAAGTTCATACGTGGGTGGTAAATAGCTCTTTTAAAATGATATGTGCAACTTCAGTACAGAAAGAAAAGAGCTAAAGCTCTATCATGCTTTGTTCAAATAGTGCAATCCGCTTAATAAAACAAATTGCTGATATATCTGTAAGGGCAGCTACTGTATGATTTCTAAATTGAAAGTAATTACAAAAGGACAAATAAAAGAGCCAGTAAGCTGCCTTTTAATCATTGAAAACAGATTAAAGAGATTGCTATTTATACGGACTCACACTATAAAGAAAAATCCTGAACATATCACAGCAGTATCTCATCTCTTCTTAAGGACTCCAATCCTCCCTCCTCAGGTAGTATGTGACCCCTCTCACCCAATTCAAAGTGTTTTTATTTTTCTGCCATCCTCCAGAAGGCAGAAGAATAAAAACACTATGAAATAGGTGATGGATCACTTATAATTCCTGAGGTCTGTGGCCCACGGCCGGCATTAAAAATAGTCTTTGAAATAGTTTATCTAAGAAAGTGTTTTACATAACCTCTTCCACTTCCACATGCCCTTCTTCCCCCTCTATATTGTTTTTTTCTCTTAAATGTAATTATTTTCTACATACCACACCTCAACAGCTGTCTACTCCCCCTTTTTTGTAAATGTTCTTGGCCATTTCAGTAAAACAATATTTTGTTCTCCCTCGCATATGTTCCAGTGCTGGATCTCACTACTGAAGTGAACTTTGTTAAAGGAATGGTACTAGCAAATACTACACATAAGTTTAGCAGCTTCAAGGTACTTCAAATACAGTTTTAGTTACTTCAGTTGTATCAACATGTAAAATAAGACTTCTGAAAGTCATGCCAAATGCGGAGAAGATTCTGTGGGTTAAAGCCATTCACTATAATGCGCTTGGCAAAAGTGCACCTTTCATACTTAAGTCTGCGCACCTCAAAAAGATTCCTAAATCCCAGAAATGTTGTTGCATAAACTGGTTTTACACCCAGGACGTGTAGGCACAACCCCACATAGACATCTTCGAGTGGAATCGGTCGCACAAATCTAGAGGCCCAGGATATTTTTCTGGCCAGGTCAGTAGAAAAGACATATGCAGCTCCAGACACGTATGGAGGATACCAGGAGTCTGGGTAAAGATCCTCTGAGATGTACCATTTGTTGAAGCTGTCCCTGTGAGGAACAGCATCTGAGATGACTGATCCAGTGATGAAGTCTTTCCTTGAGGACTCGCTCTGGTCATGCAAGTAGTCCACCAAGTAACGTACATTGAGAAAGATATCTGCATCGATCTTCATGGCATACCAGGCCCCCTGGCAGTAAGTGGCTATCCAGTTCATAATCATCATCGTCTTGATGGTGAGATTATGGTAGCTGTCCACAAAGTCCATTTGAATGATGTCACCATATTCCTTGCTCTCCTTCTCAAGGTGCTCCTGCAGTACTGGGTCTCTTTGTGCTGGCTGACCAATGACAAACAAATGCAAAATGGTCACACCAGGAATCAAGCCATCTTGACCCCATGTCCTTCTAATAGCAGTCCTCGCCTCTGTGTCTTTGAGAGTCACTGGGATCATAAGAACCAGGAAAGGACTTCTGTTCTCACACAGTTCTGGCTGGTTCAGATTGAATTTGTATGTTGATGGTGAGATCACGTTATAGAGCTCTTTTGGTGCTGGAGTCTTCTTCGGTGGAGACGGCCGTATTGTGCTGTTAAAAACGAGGATAACTACAAATGTTATTAATCCAGCTATAGCAAAGTATTTCAAAAGTTTATATCGCGATCGTTTTCGCATATTTAAACAAAATAAAACTGCACCACAAACGCAGGTAGCCTAAAGTTACGAAACTTGAATGTCAGGTTCGCCCATATTGCCTAAGACGTACGCGTTTGTTTAGCTAAATTGCCCAACCCTTCTTGAGAGGTCTTGAATCGCTCTCATGAGGTATTTTAAACTTCAACAATTTTTAAAGCAAGTTACTATCATTTTCTATCGGATAGAAGTGGACTTTACGCTTAACATAATCCAGCTGAGCTATAAAGGTTATTTATAATATTTACAATGTACAGTATCACGGGGGAGTGTTTTATTGAGAGTTGCCAGATGACTCTGGAATATTCAAAAGCGAATGAGTGATTTAATGATTGAGTGAGGAGAAATATTAGCTTGATTTGAGTTTCACGATTAAATAATTGAATTTGTTCATTTAAAATGGTAAAGAAACCCACACGAATCAATACAAATGTCCAAATCTTCACCACGCATTTATGCGCATTTTCATCGCGCAATCTGGCAACACATGATGTTACTAGGAAAACATCTCTGTTCGTTTTGGTTGTAAACCCTCACAGCCGTTTAAGAAGTAATGACACAAGCGCATATTGCAAAACAAAAAAACGAGAGAGATTGACAAGATGGGACATTCCGGTTTTGAATAACATGTGAAAGTTGTGTTACATTACGCTCGTTTCGAGTGTCCAAATAAGCGCACTCTGCAAACGTGATTTATTAAACAAAATCCGTTTTATTGTAAGAGGGGTTACAAAGAAACACCTGTTGTACACCCATTTAATAAACAAACAAACAAACAAAAATATTCAAATACCAAATCGAGACATAATTTACACAGGTATTGTATAGGGTCAGTGGTTAAGTCGAAAACAGGGTAGGGGCAAACACAAAGACTTATTTCTGTATATTAATTCTTAATTATTTTTTGCAAACAGAACTTTCATATGAGGCTATGTTTACAATAATTCCAATCACCTGGCCATTACTTTTCCTTTTCCTGAATCTTGAACATTACACAGTATCACTTAAACAAAAGACTGAACATAGGTCCTGCCTTAACTTTTGTTTCATTAAAAAAATTTTTTTAGAGGATAACAATCAACAAATCAAGATTCTTATGCTCTGTGACTGAATGCCCATATAGTTATAGGGTACAGGAAACACGACGAAAGGTGCATATAAACACTTAGCAGTACTGTGTATGTACTGGTTGCAGAAATGCACCACTTCAGAACTGATGAATGCATGAGTTGTGGGAGAGAGAAAACAGAGAGCATGGGTACTTAGATTTGTCACAGACAGTCAAAAGAGATGAAAAAAAAATCTCTGAGCCTCCCCACTAGATATTTTTATGCAGTCCTGCATATTAAATGCTGAGTTTTTACCGTGTGCCATTAAACATCTAGCCCTAATTGAGAAGTTAAAGGATAAATAATTGTTGAGGCTAATTCACAGCCTAGCTAGGGAAGAGGCTCTGAAGCAAAAATACCACACACAAACATTCAACTCTTCCCACTGTAACTGTATGGGATATACAGAAAGAATAATATCATTATTTTTTAAACTGGAAAGCACCAAGCCAAACTCAAAATCTCCTCTCCGTAGGCATTGTATCATATAGATGTTACTGGAGTGTCTGTCTTTGGTGTGCTTAAGATGTACAGGCACAGTGTGTAATGTTAAACACTTCACTATGAGTCTATTGGTTTACTGTCAGATTGACATGCACAGAAGTGGTACACACACAACTGTGTATGGACTGTAGCTTTGAATGGGGGGTGAAAACTTTTTTGTACTTGTTCTCCATGAATAGGAGAGTGTGAAGAGCAGGCTGGGCTTCTGGCAGTGACTTTGGTAGATGAAGGGGATGAGAGGATGCAGGAGAAACAAGGGGCAAATGGTCAGCAGTGGAGGGTTGCTTGGTTCGAGTTGGAGAGCACTGGTTTACGATCGCTTTCTCCTTCCCTCAAAATTCCTGAAGTTGGTGGGCCTGAACTTCATCTCTGCGAACTCGATGGAGTGCTCATGACCCTTCCAGTGGAACCAGTTTACACCCTGGAGATAAAACAGTTTAAAACAATCTAAATCTGTCTCTACTGTGTATTGTTAGACAGGTGAGAAAGCACATATGAAATGTGTACCTTGCTATGACTGTTGTCTCCGTATCGTCCCATTATATTCACTCGATGACAGTTTTTATACCAGAAAGCTCCCTTGTAAGACAGAGCACAGTTGGTGACAGCTATATCGTGGTCATTATCGTAGGTCGAGAATGGACGGCCGTGGTGATACGTCATTGAGTCACCTTTAAAAGAGCATTACAAAATTATTACAAAGTCATATACACTACTTTTCAAAAGTTTGGGCTCAGTAAAAAAAATGTTTTTTAAAGAAATTAATACTTTTATTCAGCAAATTTTTTTTTACAAATCTATTTCAAACAAATACTGTTTCTATTTATCAAGGTAACCTGAAAAAAAAAAATCACAATTTCAACAAAAATATTAAGCAGCACAACTGCTATATTAGGGATAAATTACATTTAAAAAAATTGACAAATAAATTACATTTTAAAACATATTCACATAGAAAATAGTTATTTTACAATGTAATCATATTTCACAATATTTGACAGTATTTTTGATCAAACTATCTTATTGAACCCAAAACTTTTGAACGATAGTATAAAAATATATTAGACAAAATGTAATTAAATTTATTAATTCACATAAATACTTATTATAAAATATTAATATACAATATTACTTACTTTAATATACTAAAATATTAATATTAAACTACACATAAAACAACAGTATAATAAAATGCGTGTGTGTATATATATATTTAGTGCTATCAAACGATTAATCGCATCCAAAATAAAAGCTTTTGTTTACATAATAAAAAAATTTAATAATATTATAATGGAATAAAATAAATAATAAAAATGCAATTAAATATAAAGCTAAACGTGTTATATAAAATGGGTTAAAATGTAATATTCATGAATAAACAAATTTAATATAAAACCAAAAAAATGAATAATACAAAAAATATTTATTTAGAATTCACAATTTTATAAGTTTAACATTACATAAAATAACCTTAATATATTATATACATGTGTGTGTGTGTGTTAGTGCTGTCAAACAATTAATCGCATCCAAAATAGGTTTTTGTTTGCATAATATATGTAGGTGTGCTGTGTATATTTATTATGCACACACACACACATGCATGTATATATTTCAGAAAAATATGTTATGTTTATATATTAAATATATTTTTAAATATAAATTATATGAATATAAATACAGACATGTAAATATTTTCAAAATATATACTGTATGTGTGTGTATTTATATATACATAATAAATATACACAGAACACACATATATTATGCGAAGAAAAACTTTTATTTTGTATGTGATTAATCACGATTAATCGTTTGACAACACTAATATATATATACATATATAAACAATATGACAGCTATATGTTGCGGAACTAGAGAGAGATCTTCCAGACCTGCAGTGCCGCTGTATCCTCCAACATGCACTTTGTAACGACTGCGTGGTTCTGAGACTGAAAACTTGTCATACTGCGCATATGCAGACTCGCCCTTATCTCTGAGGTCCACACGCAGCTCATACTGCCCAGAGGAGGTGATCTTATGGAGGCTAGAGAGACCTGCAGACACACGGAATGAGATTTGTAGACCAACATGCTCAAAATTGCTCCATATCATAATACCTTGGGGCTTCCTAGGGCAATATTAGCAATTTGATATGTGTGCACAGATGTAAACATACCCAACCAGAATTCATCATTCAGGTCACCGAAGCCTGCAGTGTAGTTCTTCCAGTTTCTGAAAAACTCTACTTTACCGCTCTGCCGTCTCACAAACACCTGGAGGTACCACATTATTATAATGACCAGTGTTTTTGCTCTCTGTGTATTATGAGACTTTAATTTAACCCTGTAAAGCCCGACATTAATAATAAAATAAAAACATACAAAAGTGCTCTTACATTTACAGATACAGGTTTTCATTTTTGTGTGAACTATCACTTTAAATACCTCCTGTAGGATCAAAACAGCCAATCTTTCTATCCTGCATGTCATTTGAGGAAGAATTACTCACAATCCAGCCACCTCCATCAGTGGTCATATCACAGTAGACCTGCAGAGGCTGATTCTCATCTCCACGCAGGTAAATAGTGTACAGGCCTGAGGTTGTTTCTCCATTTAACAGAGTCTGCGAGCAGTCTTTAGGATGCTTGTATAGCACTCCAACTGTGATAAAGAGAAAAGAGTTTGACCAGAGGCTAGTTTATTTTGTTCAGAGTTTGTGATCATGTAATGAAGTTGTGCTTTCAGGTTATTGGCTCACTGGTGGTGAAGACTGTCGAGATGATTCTGCTTCTCTTTGGCCCAGCGATGGCCTGCAGTCTGACTGTGTACTCTGTGGAGGAAGTCAGCTGAGACATGCTGTAAAATGTTGCCGTGGGGCTAAGGACAACCTCCTGAGCCAAGAGAAGAAAACCAGGAACATTTCAGTACAGCACAGAATCGGCACTGGACCATGCATTTAATAATCACTGCAGACCAGAAAAATGACCAAGCTTCAGTTTTAAGGCTGTAAATGATGTTTAAAGTTTGGTTGTTCGTTCAGACGGTCCACTCACCTTGACAATGCCATCAGCGGACTCAAAGCTGAGGATGTACCCACTGATGTCTGCTCTTGGTGGCTTCCATGTCAACATGGCACTTTCTGTTTGAATATTACTGGCAGCCAGATTCTGAGGGGCATCAACATCTGCAGCAGAGAGTATTCTGTTATTAACCTTGCATTCTGAATTCTTAAGGTGAGACATTACAGGCAAAAACACTGTTTCTTTATGCACTGTTTTTTGGGCTTTTCATAAAGTCTTTTTTAGACTAGTGGAAAGAAAACATCCAAAATACACTTTTAAGTGTTTCTTTCATAGCACTTTATCTGTTTGCGTCTATAGATTTTAATTACAATACATATCTTTAATGGCCATTTTCTCAAAATGAGATTTTTCTCCTGCACTGAGCCAAATATCTCCACTTCAGTAATACATATATATACCAATCTTTAAAGTTTTATCCCTATCTACAATCTGAAGGATTTTAAAGAGGGGTTTGTTAATATATAATTTGCCAGGTTTTATAAAATATTTTATTCCTAAAAAATTTTGATTTTTTTTTTGTTCTGGCTGTTGATAGTATTTTCTGATTTATGAAGTGATAAAAGGAGATATCCAAAATCACCTCTGTAAAACCTTTTGAGTCTAATATGTCAATGAAATGAAACAATTTTTAACCTGCTGGCTTTATCTAATGTTAAGATTTTTGTTCTCTTAAGTTAAGTTTTTATTAGTTGATTCTGCAAAAAAGTGTGAAAAAATATTTAACTGAATGATTATTAAAACACATTCTTCATGATTTAAAAAAAAAACAAAGAAAAAAACAAGAAAGTTTTTATCTCTGATGCATGAAGGACCACTGACAATTTAGTAGTGGACAAATTAACCTAGTGTGAAAGTGTGAAAACATTTTATTTTTAGGTCAAAGTAGAAAGTGTATTTTTGCCCAGTAGAAACATATGTCAGAAGGCTACTCTTTTACTCTACACCAATAAATATTGCCCTTGTATGAGCGTACAGATGTCTTGTGTTGTTTGTGCTTAAGGGTGAGTGAGTGTTCACCATACCGGTGGTGAACTCTGTGGTGGTTGCAGCGCTCTTGGCTGCTTCTCTGACAGCATAAACTTTAACGGTGTATAAGGTGGCAGGTGTGAGGGAGCTCAACTCAAACTCCACAGTGTTCCCAGACACCCGTTCCATCACTGGAGCCACTGACAAAAGAACAAAACACACAACTGAGACTCACTGCTTTATTGTTTGAAACAGCCTTCCTTCAAGAATAATTAGGGACAGTCTGAGTTGTTACCACTGTCTGCGCTGTAAGTGATGACATATCCATCCACAGTAGCAATGGACGGCTGCCACAGCAGCAGAGCTTCAGTGTCAGTGATGTTGACTGCTGTCAGACCTCGAGGCTTATCCAGGGCTGTGGGCCAACAGATACAAACAGAGAGACAAAAGAGAAGCAAAATCACTGAGAGATGGCTTGGAGTCGATTACTAGGCTTCTGCAAGTCAGGAATGCAAAAGAGTCATACTTACTGCACTGAATAATAATACAGAATCTAGCTATGAATATGAGCTGCTAAAAATAAAAAATAGTTATTTATTATTTTATAATATAATATTAATTAAAATGATTAATTAATAAATATTTTATATTATTGTTCAATTTAATAATAACTATTCACTCTTGCTGATAAGCATTTTTGGTGAGCGCTTTCCTATTCCATAAACTATGAGAAGATGCAATTTGTGAGATTATAATCAATGTTGTGTAAGTTACTCAAAAATAGTAATGCACTACTAATTACTTATTACTTCTTTAAAATGTTTTAATTAAATTAATTTATTAATTACATAATTGAAAAAGCAATTACATTACTAATTTATTTTTATGTTCCTTTCAAAAAAACTTTTCCTCTCAACAAACTGAAATTAGTGTCTCTGTGTCCTGCTGGTTCATCAGTGTGTATAAGTCATGCATTCAGCACCTTACATTTCTGCATCAGATAATGCACTGTATAATAGATCTTGCACATGACAGGTGTATAATTCATGCTTTAAAAGTACCTTACTTAATTAAATTGATTTAAAATGCTAAAAAGTAACTAAAATGTAACTAAAGGTCATTTATTAGTAATGAGATTACAGAATCAAAAATGTAATCAAGTTACACTACTTTTTGACTGAAAAGTAATTATTTTACATTAACTAATTACCTTGTATTTGCATTACTCCCAACACTGATTATATTCTAAATATAGTTGTACCTGTCGTGACTCTATCAGATCCTGGTTCACTCTCCTCCAAACCCTTCACAGCGATGACAGTGACCTGGTAGGTCACTCCAGGGGTCAGATTAGGCAGCATGGCTTGAGACTCTCCTCCATCTACTCTCAGTGTCATAGGGCTGCCTGCAGGGGGAGACAGAACACTGGAATAAATTAGATTGAGCGTTTGTCACTAGAGGGCAGCACTGTCTGTGATTAATTAGGATGGTGATATGCAAGAATGCTGTGCTGATGGATGAAACAGTGTGGTTTTATTTATGATATGCACTGATAGATTCACATAACTGAAGATGGGCCTGATCTAAAAACCTGCACTGATCACAGAGAAGCCAAAAAGGACAGTATGAGACTTTAGGGGGACATATCTTGAATTAAATCAATTTATTATGCCAAGACGGCAGTCTAAGAGAATTTCCTCCGCAACTTATGCAATATATTACATACGATATAATTTATGACAAATCATAAACTGAGAAAGTACAAATAATACTATGATTTTCCAACAGGCAACCATCCAAATGCATAGAAAACCACACGGTAAAGTCTCGCTTTCTTAAGATGGACTATGTGCCAACTTGGAGGGAAGGCGGCTTTGCTTTCATTTCCAGAACAAAAGATCCAAATGTGCTATAAATAGTACTAATATATGTGCACTTCCATTCAAACGTTTGGTGTATGAAAGTTCTTTTTTCAAAATAAATTAATACCTTTATTCAGAAAGGACACATTGAATTGATCAAATAATAAAGACATTTATTATGGTTCTATTTCATATAAATGCTGTTGTTTGAACTTTCTATTCATTAAATAAAAAAAATTAAAAAAAAAATTAAAAAAAATAAATATATATATATATATAAAGTTTATATATAAATATGACAGGTTTTCAACATTTATAATAATAAAAAAAAAATCTTGGGCACCAGATCATAAATTACATTTTAAAATACATCAAAATGTAAAAGTAATTTTAATTTGTAATAATATATAATAAAATACTATTTGTAATAATATATAATAAAATGACCACATCACTTACCACCCTGAATGGGCACATAGGTGACCCGGTAGCTGTCTACATGGGTACGGGGCAAAGTCCAGTGAACAGTGGCCGATGTATCGGTCACATCAGAAAAGCGTATCTCCTTGGGTGTTCCCAGACCTTGGTAAGAATGACACACAGAGAAGAAACGAATAAAAATATACTGTTAAAAATGTGTGTTCTAGCATTTGACAAATAGGAGTTAAAAACCTGTCCCCAGAAACAAGTCATTTCAGACTGTAAAAGAAACAAAAATACAGTTGGTGTCAAGAAACTTCTTGAACTACCCCATTTATTGTGCTGCAACAAATAGATGCATCAAAGTAAACATTCAGGACATGAGGATGACCAACTGTGCGACTACAGAGAAAGGACACGCAGACAAAGGCCCTGGCCTTAAAGTTATTTCTCAGTGCTGGACCTCTGAATCTCGCGTGACAGTTGCAAGAAGATTAACTTGCCCCCAAGTACAGAGGCACAATAGTGTGACATGCCAACATCAGACACAAGTGGAAAGTGAAGTTCACTAACATAAAGGAAGATTGCCAGAGACAAGCACGCAATCAGGACAAATACACAAAATAGTTGGTCCTGCTTTGTAAATAAAACCCTCAATCACACAGCAGATAGAGACGGAGAAAATAAAACTGGTGAGAGAAGACTTGGATGCAACCGTTGTTGTTAATGAGAGACTCTTGAGCTACTCTGTGGACACAGTAAGGAAAAAGAAAACAATGAGTGATGTTGTAATATTGTTAAAAAATGGGAAAGAAGGTAATGGAGGAATGAAAAAGACTTCATTTTTAATGGTATTAGTTTTGACCAAACCTGCAAGCTGACAGAAACATTAAATCATTGAAAATGAAGAAGAAGAACCAGTGAGGACAAATCCCGTGGAGCTGTCCCTCTTCATTAGCACTGTTCACTTGTTTAAGAGTGTCAGCAGTGTTTGAGGCATTTCAAGAGTACTAACATGTGCTCTCCAAGGATCACTTTCATCTGACTGGCTTCTAAGTCTCTCCGGTTTGACAAAGAGGCATCTGTTTGTGGAGGTGGAAAAGGCGCCAGCTAACCTACAGAAACAAGGTCTGGAAGCAGTAATTCTACAGCAGGCAGCTAAAACCTCTGAGGGGGATATCTGTGTTGACACAGTTAAATGTTGCAGCAGGGATACGCAAACCAACCAGAGCAAGAAAACTACCGAAGTTTCTGTAAACATTGTACACTTTTCTGGTTTTAAAAGCTTGTATTACTCAGGCCAGAGCGAGGCAAGAGTTCATGGGTCATGTGACATGAATAGAGAGGAGGTTAACAGAAATCCAATCAGTTCCCCTTCTCCTCTGCCTATTTGCATGCAGACTTGAGAGACTGCTACAACTGTGGCCCCTGCAGCCACTGGCTGATAAACGCCAAGAAAATGTGTGAAAGTGAGGCATAAGAATGAGAAGTAGCGCAGGGTCAGAAAACTGGGTGTGCATACTGAAAAGATCCTTCACAAGAAGCGACAAAAACTCCTCAGGATCACTTCCATGGCAGTACACCCCAGCCCAGTCACCCGCTCTATTCGCTGACTCTCTGAGGAGGGGCAAAATGTTGGTATGCGCCTAATAAATGTATGTTTGCTACAATACAACTTGGTAGACTATAAATGCCACAAACTAAATTATTTAAATTGACTCACCGACCATGTGAGTTGAATGCCGCAGTCAATTAGAATGAAAAAGGCATCATTAGTCTAACTTTGTTTTGCCTGTTAAACACAAATGTACCAGCGATGACAGGCAGAGGTCATTTACTGCACCTGGAGGCTGTGCTGGTGATTATGCAGACGTGAATGTGTGGGGAGGCATTATGATGCAGTGCAGGTGTGCTCTGAATGTCAGTTTTACTTCAACATAAAATTCAGCAGACGACAGAATCTGTCGCTGACTTGAAAGGGGCTTGGTTTGTTAGTGCTTTGCACATTTGAGAGATTATCTGTGTCTGAAATCATGTACTGTCAGTATGTACTGCATTTGATTATGAACTCACTTGTCAGGCATTAATGAAGTACTCTTTGTTTTACAAGTATGCATGTGTTGTAGTATTAATACAATTCAGACTATTCAACCATGTTGTTAACGTCATGTGAACTATGACATCAGATGAATACTAAATGATGGCCAGCGGATCATACGTTTATGAAAACTGACATAGTACATTAGACGTATTGCTTTCCGCATACTATATACAGAAATAGACTTATTCGGACACTGGGATTTATTTTGGATGCAGTCATGTTAGATGATGCTGCATTACACTACTATTTAAAATTTTTGGGTTGTAATTATTATTTTTTTTAACTCTCTTAACACCATGGCTGTATTAATTACAAAAAAAGTAATATTAATCAATGCATCAAAGCACATTTGATTAATGCATCCATTTTGAATAAAAGTATGAATTAATTGAGAATTCTTCTGAAATCAGTATTATTGGATGTGGCTGCATTATATTCATTATTTTGTTTAAAAAATGCCCAAATATTCACTTTACCTTCTATATTAATAGTGGAAAATACAAGAAATACTCGTTGGAAACTAGTTTCAGTACAAGATGATAGTAGATGAAGAAATGAATACACTATGAAGACTACAAAAACTGGTTAAATAATAATAAAAATGTGTTAGTTTTAATTCACCATGTGATGTGATGGACTGCACATTAGAAGAGAAAAGAGGTTAGTTGGTTTTGCTGCTTGAGACACAGCATTTGATCCAAAGAAAACTGGAAAAGAAGACCAAGCTGGTCCAAGATTGGGCAAGAATTGATACCTGTGATGGCTTCAGCAAAGACAGGATCTAAGAGCTCTCCCTTGTACAGCCCATACAGTATGACCCTGTAGAAAGTACTAGGGGAGAGGTCAGTGACAGCCAGGCTGAACTCCTGGCTAGATAGTGTATGGTTCTGGCCATCAGATAAGCCATCTGGGTCAGATACTTCAACCAGAAAGCCCTCAACCTCTCCTCTGTCCAGCTCCCAGGACACACTGAAGCTGTCCCAGGACACATCAGAGATGGTGATGTTGCCCACCTGAGGCTTCTCTTCATCTGGATGACAAACAAATCAGAAGATAATTAATTTGGCAAGAAAAGGTACATATAGGAGAAGAACATGGGTAATGGTGACTGAACAGGTTTGGCTGATTTCTGAAGGCATTCTCTCTTTGAGATGATGGTCGTTTTAATTGCGGAGTCGAATGAACTGAAGTCCAAACAAAAAGACCGGAAAACAAACAAGTTTCACATTATTCAAAACAATGCAAAGCATTTTCAAAATTAGAGGGAAAAATCCATGTTATGAGCAACAATAAACCTTTTAATGTGTTACTCCTAACAAATTAATCTCCATCTGTTCCAAACAGAACAGAACATCTGCCCATGCAGTGAAAAAAAAACAACAGTAATAACTGAGTAATAACTTTCAAAAAGTTGTAGTGGCAAACATACTAATTTGCAGTCTTTTCTCTTGCAACCTATTAACATCCAAGCACCAGCTTGCTGAGACAGCTTTGGTATTAATGGCCCTGAGAAAAGCCATTAATTTTTGAAGGTCCTGCCTAGCCTGCCTGAGCAGAGGTACGCTGAACACTTCAAATATGGGAGGCAGCCATGCAGCGCGGTGCATTGCAACCTATAATTGAACATCATTGTGCATTGTCAGCATTCACAGGCAAAGAGGGGGCAGATAGCTAAGAGATGCACGGTGGGCTAACCATTATCCTGTCTATGCACATTCAAGAGGGCAGAAACGTGGCGTGCAAATAGGGTGAGAGACAATGGGGATGAAGTGAATGACCTTCCCAGGCATAAGGGCCGGTTGTCGCTTTTGAAACCTGGAGATGAAACAATACGAAGCTGTCAAACAGCAAAACAACTCATTGATCATCTTGCGCCATTCATGGGAACTGAAATTTGGAGAAATTGATTCATTTTGCACACTTATCCAATAGAGTTCCCGCCACTGAAAGCGGCCCATGTATGTCTGAGGAATGGCCTTCACTGCATGCAGATGGGGATAGAAGAAAAGAATGGCTTTATCGTTGTGAGATCCTCAGGCCACAGACACCTTAAGGGTGTTTGGATAAAGCCTTTGTTGTACGCATGCACAAGCCATGAAGGTGTGGTCACATTTATCATTGCTTGTGAATTTTCGCAGGCAAATTGTAGTCATTTTAATGTGTATCCATGTGGGAATTTTGTGTGAGGCTGAATGATTTCCCCACAGCGATTTCGAAACGGGTTCAAATTGGTCACAATTGGTCCAACAGAAAGCTTCTTGGTTTGAAAGTGACTCCGGTGTAAGCTTTGCTTCATAAATAGCTATACTATTGACAATAGACCTTTTTGCCCACAAAATTTTGCTGAAAATTCACGTATGTGACCATACCTTAACACAACATAACAAAACTTTGTGCATGCATGTGACTGTTTGCTCTCTCCTTTTGGTCTGGTTGTGTCCTCATATGTTTCCTTTGAGATGGTCATCAGGTCTCCATGTTACAAGCTGAAACTCTCATATTCATGCCAGAGAAGCATTCAGTGAACAGAAAAAAGCCCAGACCTAAAGGTCTCCCTGCCCCACCCCCTTCCCATCGGGTCTGAGGGTGTTTGTGTGCCGTGTCTAAGGCCGATAATGGCTGCTGAAATAAATGCATTGGGATTATAGTGCTGGTGATTTCAGAGACAACATTTTAACAGGCGGCTCAGCATGTGTCCTATTTATCAGTCCACCCCACAGTTCATTGTGGTCAAATCACGCAAATCCAAAAGGGGAGTGGGCTCACTCTGACGATTATCACATGAATGAGCTTTCTGTGCGTGTGTGAGTGTGTGTGTGTGTGTTTGGGATCTTGAGAAACACTATATCTGTTGTCTTGCCTTGGCGACCAAAGCAAACAACTGATGTTATATATATATGGTGGCATTTTGAGATCTTTATGGAAGTTTTCTCATGATAAGGAGCTACAAAATGTTTCATTCAAATTTATAGAACAAGGACTGCAGTATCTTCAAACTCCAAAAGAAATATTGGCACTTAAGGGAGGAAAATAGTCAAGATAATAAATTCCAGAGTTGCCTTCAGATCCTCAGTGGCCTGCTGAATAAATACATTTATGGAGTGAAAAAAATATTCAAATCATATTTTTTGAAAGCTTATTTTATGATACAATCCAATATTGCTTTTGTCACTCTAGAGGTAAGAGAAACGGGGATGTGAAGATGCATTCTTTATATCTAAATGAAAATGTAATGATGCATACTAACCTGTGGATGCTGACAGAGTGGCTGGCACACTCATCTTTCTTCCTCTCTTGGCAGTCAGGCTGATGGTGTACAGCATGCCAGGATTCAGGTCAGTCAGGATGTAGGTATTGGCAGCACCAGGTACCTCCAATTCAGTTTCTGTGCCATCCGCAGATGTAAACACTAGCACATAGGTGTCGATTTTGGCGACCGGCCTTCTCCAAACCAGTGCCAATGTGGTCTCCGTGGTCTCACTTACTTCAAGGTCTTTGGGAGCATCAATATCTAAGAGGACAGGTACGTAACATTAAAAACAAAAAATGACAACTCTGTCATCATTTACTCATCATCATGTTGTCCCAACATGTATTTTCTAACACTGAATACAACAGGAGAAACTGGATGTTTTTTTCCATGCAATTACAATGAATGGGACTTGGAGCTTTTAAGCTGCAAGAAGCACCACAGACATCATAAAAACTTGACTCATTTGTTATATTCAAACTACTTTAGATAATCCAGGGGGCTTTTAATCACTGCAACCAGATCATTGAGTCAGTGAGCTGAACTTGAGAACTAAACAAATCATTTAGACCTGTTTTGTGAACTGGATCAAATGATTCATTAAAATGATTCAACTAAAAATAATTGATCATTTACAAATCCAACATGAACTAAACAAAAAGAGCTATGGTGGATGTCACTATTTTCAGTAAATCATTTACATTATTAGTCTGTTTGTCACACAAAGGCTTTAGATGATTTGGATTATGGCACAGGAGTCATATGGGCTACTTTTATGATACCTGAGCACTTTGATATGGTGCTTTTTTGTCATTTTGGTACAGTCATCATTCACTTTTGACATAAGTGTGAATTAATAGTTTTTCCTTAACTATTCCTTTCAGAATTAACATTACATACCTTCAAGTGGGTTTATTAAGACAATAGAACTCACATGCACTTTTAACTCGGCTAATAAGAGGAGAAAATGGGGAAGACAAGCACATTAAATAAAGTAAAAAAAAAAAAAAAAAAAACATAAAATACAGGTGAGTTACTGACCATTTGGTTAAGTCTTACCAGTCACAGCATTGGTCGTCGCAGGCAAACTCTCACGCTCTTCCTTGATTGACGTCACTCCCATTCCATACTCCGTCCCGGGCCTAAGGCCTAAGAAAGAGCCCAGCAAATTCAGTCCTCTCAAATCATTAGACAAAACAAAACCATTAATCTCTCACATTAGTTGTTTTTGGAGCTTCCGTGGTAGGCAATTGTTTTCATTCTTGCCACAGCGCGGTTTCGATTTCATCTGCACGCCATATCAATCTAATGCCTTTCAGTGGCTGCATCAAAGAGCTTCTCCACAGGCCAGAAACAATATTTACCATCATACAAGAGATTCTCAGATCCCCACAGCCCCCATTCATAAGAGCCCTTAGCCCAAATCCCACACTTTACCCCTCTTAATGCCTGTATTGGCTCCTGCAGAGGTCACTGTGCAGGAGTCCTCCAGCATGAAATTACGCCTAATGCAGAGGAAGCTCATTATCAATAAAATCACAGGCGTGACGGCAATTACAGATAATAACTGTGTGAAAGAGACAACTAGTGTAATGTGTGTGTGTGAGAGAGAGACTCTGCGTTATTAGCCGAACAGATCGTCCGCCTTATTTACAGGGAACAGGCCTCCCAAGGACAAAGGAGCAAACCAGACAAAGAATCTATTATCCATTTTGAATATATTTTTCTCCCAGCCATGATAATCCCTGCTTGCGGTAACACATGGTTGTAGAGAATAAGAATTAGTGCAGGAGATTGCCTCAAAGCACAAGTGTATAATAGAAGTGCTGCTGCGACGAAGAAAGCCTCCGCTTTCCCTTTTTGACTGGGATTTTCACATTGAAGCACCAGTGTTACTTCATTTAAGGCATGAATAAGGCATTACCAACAAAAGGGATAGCATCTCATTCGCTTTTAGTCATGTAAACACTTCACGTCACTAAAACAAAGGAGCTCATTTAGAAATAAAGTGCTGATAAGTACAAGTACAAAAAAAGCCACTTTGAACCTTTTTTGAATTAGCCTATTTCGATTCAGACCTACAATGGGATTCCAATTGTTTTAAATCCTTTTTGAGGATGTTTTCCGAAAATGACTTCACACTTCAACACCTGAGAACTACATTTCTCATTTCAAGAGGGCACAAATGGCTTGGATGTACAGATGGACTGAAAACTACTCTAGTGTTTGGACTGCACTGCAGCATGGCCTAATTTTATTCCAGTTTTCAAACACAGTTTTTCATCTGTATGATCTGTTTGTAATTGATGTGGTTTGTAATCTCTGGAGAGGAATTACTGTGTAATTCAAATTGGCCTCTCACCAGTGATTTTAGCCTGAGTGGTATCTTGCGGGCCGCTGGGGAAGACCAGTTCTCCATGCTCCCCTCCAGAAAGTGGGCCGTATTTGACGCGGTAATTGAGGACATCAGACATGCTGTTTTTCCACTCCAGAGTTATACTCTCATCTGTCTGTTCAACTGTCTTGAGGTTGCTGGGGGCATCAAGGTCTGAAACACGCCAACATGTGGATAAAAGAAAATACTTCCTGTAGACGTACAGTTATCCTCCAGGGCAAGACAAAGAAAATTGCTTCAAAATGCAGGTCTAAGTACAACACAATTATCAGTAGACCTGCTGAAGCAGACTGAATTTTCACTTTAAGTTCTGAAATTATTTCTAGAGTTTCTACCTGTTGTGAAGGTCTCAAAGACCGGAAAGCTGGTCATCTCTCCCCTGCGGGCCATGAGAGAGACCTCATACTCTGTGTCAGGGTACAGCTCAGCCAGATGGTACTGGGTATCCATGGAGGAAAACTCTATTGTGTTCCTGTCTATATCTGTGATTGGGCCATAGGACACAGAGATCCCGTCCACCTGAGCGACAGGCTGAAACCAGGTGATAAGGGCTGTAGTGTCTGTCACATCACGCACATCCACCTGGCTGGGAGCATCAATCACTGTGGATGAGAGAAGAGGTTTGTGACAGCTGGGGAAAAAAGCAACAAAATGGGAACATTTATGCAAGCAGATGAGTTCAAAACAGCTGCTATACAGTTTTGATGTCAAGAACCTCAAAATATGATGATCGCTCTCCTAAAATAAAATGGTAGCTATACATTTTTATTTAAAAAGACACATTTATACTATGTATTTTTCATATTGTCACTGTGCTTAATAAAAAATAAATGATTGAAATAGTAAATAGTGCATAAAATAAAACAAACATTGCAAATATTATAAATAAAATAGTTCTGATTCAATCAAGAAATATCACTGAAAATTTGGTAAATGTTCATTTTTTTCCTGAAATAGAATCGCAACACTTGAAGACTCCAGTTTGGAAAAAAAAAAAAAAACACTATTGCCATTATATGGATGCATTCATATCTATATCACTACTTTTGACAGTAAGACCAAAGAATTGTATCTGCACACCTGCTTCTCCAAGACTAAAAAGAGTACAAGTAAAATAGCTAGGTCCTTATTTTCATGGTTAAATCAGTTTGTTAGATTAGGACCTGTACTGAGAGCTCATACTCATGTGAGCGTAACATAATATAGAGGAACTGCATGCAGCTTAGAGCAGATTTGTGCATGTGAGATGCTCCAATGCGCCAGTTATCTCACGGGAGGACAGCCTCTCATGTTGCTGAGTGGTGCCTCCCACACACAGAGAGTGAGGGAGAGAACTCACTTTGAGCAATTAGTCCCCCTTTAATGCAAATCCTATGTGGCACAAGTCGAAGAAATGGAGTAGATGGAGCGTTAGAGGCATGCTGAGAGATTTTTTTTAGACATTTGTAAGACAGCAAAAACAGCCTGTCATGAAGGAGAACTCTGGTTACTTGCACTGACAGCATAAGAGGCCAATGTTATAAAGGCACATCTCTTTCCAAAATAATCTTTAGTACGTTCTAAAAGAAGGAAGTGATAAAAGTGAAAGGAGTTTTGGGAAATGTCACAACGTGGTTGGTCAAGGTTTTTCAGCAAACCAAAAGCTATTTTTGAAGTATAAAAATTTGAGGGTAAACCCTTATCCTACAATCATATCATATATAGTTGAAGAGGATGATGAGCTAGAAATGCTCTATTCTGTAGCTGTCACTCAAAATATTTGGCATAATACAAAAATGTTAGTAATATTTAGAATGTCACTTTAGTTTCATACTGATATAGGAAGGTGATAGACCCATATGAACAATATATCCCAAAAACTATCAAATTATCAAATAAACATACTGTATATTATTGAATATATCATTATTAAGACTTTAAATTGTATAAATATTGTAACTAAATGCGCTAAAGTAATATTAAGTAATATTGTGAAATATTATAACTGTTTTCTATTTTAATGTAATTTATCCCAGTTATGGCAAACGTGTATTTTCAGCATCCATTTCCCCAATCTGATCATTGATCTGTCAGAAATCTTAGAGACCCCAAACTTTAGAATAGTATTTTAGCTGGTCTGGTGTAGAAAAGCACATGGCAAGCGTTCAAGTGTTAAAGTCTTGCAAAATAAGATCTTGAGAAACTAACACTTACATATTCATTTATTCTAACTCAAAATAATAATTTGAAATGCTCAGCAACTCACTGCACTGCAAATAACTGCCAATTAACATAAACCGCTGACTGCTCTTTCTAATTTCAGGTAAGACATCATGTCTCTTTAAAAAAAAAAAAGTCCTGAAAATTAGCAGACTGGATATGGCCGCCAGTTAATTGCTGTCGACAGCTGCTTACTTGTGACAATGTTCTTGCTGGCTGGGGGTCCACGAGTGTTGTTCTTTAAGACCTCAAGTTTGACTTCATACTCTTGTCCAGGTCCAAGACCAGACTGCTCAAAGGTGGTCTCAGGAGCGGTGAGAGAGTTCAAAATCTCTCCATCCTCTTCTTTCTGCCATTCAAAAACAGATTTTTTTTGCTGAACTGAATTGGTGAATATATTAAATCTAATAACAGATCGCTGGTCAAAGGTTCTGCTGGTTAATAAAAGAGCACCACAAAGCATCAAAGAAGCAACCTCAGGAAAACAAAGTCAAGCTCCCATGAACTACGGGGTAATGAGAGGGTGTCCTGAGAGTAAACACTTTGATCTATTCGCTGATTCTACTTGGATGAGTGTTTTAATTCACAGTGAGAATTATTTTGGCATTGACATCCCTAAACTTGATGCATGAATGAGACTGCCAAGCTGTGATTTGAAAGAAGGATGTAGGGGAGGTTTGCATGTTCTAATGGTGGTGTTTTTTGGAGTTTGCATAAGCCCTTGAGAAAGAAAATAAAGCATTACAGCGACAATAAGAGTTCTGTGGCACATGGTCACGCATGCTGTTGCCAGGAGCTTCTTAGAGGGTTTTGTCTTGCAAAACCGCAGACTTCTCGACAGTAGCTTTTTGCTTAGTGGCACCACTCAGCTATTTTCCACTGGGTGCCTTTTGAGCTTCTCATTTTAAACTATTACTTGCAAACAGAACGGTCCTTTTATATTACATCTTTTAGGAGAAAATATGAGGGCAACGATACTCTTTTGGACCATAGCCACCCTAGAGACTTACGGAGGATGCCAGGACACTCACTGTGTTTCTGAAGATGAGGTTCCAGCCATCAAATGGGATGTTCAAGGGGTCCCACTTAACCTCCACTGAGGTCTCTCTAACCGATTTGAATTTCAGACCCTCAGGTTCAGGAAGATCTAATTGTAGGATATAAATCGGTTTCGCAGAATATACTCAGGACAAAATAATGAATAATTTTCCTAAGCATGATGATGGGTGACTTACGTGTGGCTATTCTGGCACTGACAGGGACACTCATCTTGCTGTTCAGGACAGCAAAGACACTGATTAGGTACTCTATGCCAGGCTCCAACTCCCTAATAGTGGCTGTCTTCTTTTCACCAGAAACTCTCATTTCCATCTCCAAACCGCCAGGAGCCGTAGGCACATAGTTGATAAGATACTCCGTCACGAGCATCTCATTGACCCAGGCAACATACACTGTTTCTGGATCGACCTCAGTCACAGTCAGGTCTCTGGGTGGGGAGACTGTGGATTGAAAAATGTCAAATTATTAAAATAATTTTAGAAGAACCTCTGAATTAAAAAGGAACAGAAAAATGTTAAGATAAATACTTCATTCAACGCCAGCAGAGACAACTAAATAAACCATTCATAGATTGATTTCCTAAAACAATGAGGCTCTGGTGTTATCAAAACATTTCCTGCCGTAGCAACACTCAACCAATAACATGATTTTAGGGAGGGACTATTGTTTAGTCTGACCAATGGCAGATGGGGAGGAGTAGTTTGGGAAACCAGTTTGAAACAGTTGTTTGAGAAATTTAGTTTGATGACATGGTGTTATCTTAGGGATATCACAATTATTAATTTTGTCTGACAGGAAATCGTCATACAAATAATTGAAAATAAGGGTTTAATTATCTGTTGTGTTTATGTCACTTACAGTGCAAATACACATACACCATGAGTGATTTATTCATAATTAATTAAGTAAATCTGATTTCTTTTCACTTTGACATATTTAAAACTTATATTTAACTTTACATTCACATCATTGTGAATATAATATAATAAAATGTATTATAATATAATATAATATAATATAATAATACATTTCTAAAATATAATACATTTTATTTAGCTGATTATTACTCGATTAGCTCATATTGGGGGTTCTATGAAAATCATAACAGATGCTTTTCCTTTGAGAAAGTATAATAGCCAAAAGAGTGCAAGTATAACCTATACATATGAGGTGTTACATATTCCAGTGTAAAATATAGTGACTTACTTTCAGAGCAGTCGTCGCCAGTGAAGCCTAAATCACATATGCACATTCCATTCAGACATTGGCCTTGATCATTGCAGTTTGCTGGGCAGGTCAGAACAGAGCAGTCCTCACCGGTGTAGCCCTCAGAACAGACACACTTTTCATCTTCACAGTAGCCACGGTCCAGGCAGTTGTTGGGACACGCCTTTGTACCACAGTCCTCCCCAGTGAACCCGCTGTTACACACACATTGGCCATTTACACAAAGTCCTCTGTTATAGCAGTCATTGGGGCAAGTCAACTCGCTGCAGTCATGGCCTGAAAAACCAGCATGACAAACGCACTTGCCATCCACACACTGTCCACGCTCATTACAGTCATTGGGACAGGTTTTGATGCTGCAGTCTTCTCCAGCAAAACCTTCATTGCAAACACACTTGCCATCTACACACTGTCCATGTCCATGGCAATGATTGGGACAGGTTTTGATGCTGCAATCTTCTCCAGCAAAACCATCATGGCAAACACACTTGCCATCCACACACTTTCCACGCTCATGACAGTCATTGGGACAGGTTTTGATGCTGCAGTCTTCTCCAGCAAAACCATCATGGCAAACACACTTGCCATTCACACACTTTCCACGCTCATGACAGTCATTGGGACAGGTTTTGATGCTGCAATCTTCTCCAGCAAAACCATCATGGCAAGCACACTTGCCATCCACACACTTTCCACGCTCATGACAGTCATTGGGACAGGTTTTGATGCTGCAATCTTCTCCAGCAAAACCATCATGGCAAATGCACTTGCCGTCCACACATTGTCCATGTCCATGGCAGTGACTGGGACAGGTTTTGATGCTGCAATCTTCTCCAGCAAAGCCATGGTGGCAAATGCACTTGCCGTCCACACACTGCCCATGTCCATGGCAGTGATGGGGACAGGTCTTGATGCCACAGTGTTCTCCAGCAAAGCCATCATGGCAAATGCATTTGCCGTCCACACACTCTCCGCGTTCATGGCAGTCATGGGGACAGGTCTTGATGCTGCAGTCTTCTCCAGCAAAGCCAACTTTGCAAATGCACTTCCCGTTGACGCATCTGCCACGATCGTGACAGTTATTGGGGCAGGAAAGCTCAGAGCAGTCGTCACCTTCATATCCATCATCACAAATACACTCACCGTTGACGCACTGTCCCCTGTCATTGCAGTTGTCAGGGCAGGAAAGAATGCTGCAGTCCTCACCCTCGAACCCAGGATCACATATGCACTTCCCATTGAAGCAGTGCCCTCTCTGATTGCAGTCATTGAGGCAGGTTAGCTTGGAGCAGTCGTCTCCGCTGTAGCCAATGTTGCAGACGCACTGTCCATTGACGCACCTGCCACGGTGATTGCAGTTTTTGGGGCAGGTAAGCTCCCCACAGTCCTCCCCAGTAAAGCCTTCTTCACAATAGCAGGTTCCATTGTCACAGCGGCCACGGTCGTAGCAGTCATTGGGACAGATGAGCTCGGAGCAGTCAAAGCCCGTCCAAGGCTCGTCACATACACATTCGTCATCCACACAGCGCCCCCTGCCTAGGCAGTTGTTTAGGCAGTTGGTCAAACTGCAGTCCTCACCAATGAAGCCCTCAGCACAGATGCAAGCCCCGTCAATGCACTCTCCATTCTCACCGCAATCCACAGGGCACAGCTCGATGCTGCAGTCCTCACCGCCGAAGCCCTCGAAGCAGACGCACTTGCCATCTTCACAGCGGCCTTGATCCTGGCAAAAGTTGGGGCATTCTGGCTCAGAGCAGTTGACTCCCTTCCAACCGGGCTCACACACACAGCTGCAGGTCACTTTCCACGCTCATGACAGTCATTGGGACAGGTTTTGATGCTGCAATCTTCTCCAGCAAAACCATCATGGCAAACACACTTGCCATCCACACACTTTCCACGCTCATGACAGTCATTGGGACAGGTTTTGATGCTGCAATCTTCTCCAGCAAAACCATCATGGCAAACACACTTGCCATCCACACACTTTCCACGCTCATGACAGTCATTGGGACAGGTTTTGATGCTGCAATCTTCTCCAGCAAAACCATCATGGCAAACACACTTGCCATCCACACACTTTCCACGCTCATGACAGTCATTGGGACAGGTTTTGATGCTGCAATCTTCTCCAGCAAAACCATCATGGCAAACACACTTGCCATCCACACACTTTCCACGCTCATGACAGTCATTGGGACAGGTTTTGATGCTGCAATCTTCTCCAGCAAAACCATCATGGCAAACACACTTGCCATCCACACACTTTCCACGCTCATGACAGTCATTGGGACAGGTTTTGATGCTGCAATCTTCTCCAGCAAAACCATCATGGCAAACACACTTGCCATCCACACACTTTCCACGCTCATGACAGTCATTGGGACAGGTTTTGATGCTGCAATCTTCTCCAGCAAAACCATCATGGCAAACACACTTGCCATCCACACACTTTCCACGCTCATGACAGTCATTGGGACAGGTTTTGATGCTGCAATCTTCTCCAGCAAAACCATCATGGCAAACACACTTGCCATCCACACACTTTCCACGCTCATGACAGTCATTGGGACAGGTTTTGATGCTGCAATCTTCTCCAGCAAAACCATCATGGCAAACACACTTGCCATCCACACACTTTCCACGCTCATGACAGTCATTGGGACAGGTTTTGATGCTGCAATCTTCTCCAGCAAAACCATCATGGCAAACACACTTGCCATCCACACACTTTCCACGCTCATGACAGTCATTGGGACAGGTTTTGATGCTGCAATCTTCTCCAGCAAAACCATCATGGCAAACACACTTGCCATCCACACACTTTCCACGCTCATGACAGTCATTGGGACAGGTTTTGATGCTGCAATCTTCTCCAGCAAAACCATCATGGCAAACACACTTGCCATCCACACACTTTCCACGCTCATGACAGTCATTGGGACAGGTTTTGATGCTGCAATCTTCTCCAGCAAAACCATCATGGCAAACACACTTGCCATCCACACACTTTCCACGCTCATGACAGTCATTGGGACAGGTTTTGATGCTGCAATCTTCTCCAGCAAAACCATCATGGCAAACACACTTGCCATCCACACACTTTCCACGCTCATGACAGTCATTGGGACAGGTTTTGATGCTGCAATCTTCTCCAGCAAAACCATCATGGCAAACACACTTGCCATCCACACACTTTCCACGCTCATGACAGTCATTGGGACAGGTTTTGATGCTGCAATCTTCTCCAGCAAAACCATCATGGCAAACACACTTGCCATCCACACACTTTCCACGCTCATGACAGTCATTGGGACAGGTTTTGATGCTGCAGTCTTCTCCAGCAAAACCATCATGGCAAACACACTTGCCATCCACACACTTTCCACGCTCATGACAGTCATTGGGACAGGTTTTGATGCTGCAGTCTTCTCCAGCAAAACCATCATGGCAAACACACTTGCCATCCACACACTTTCCACGCTCATGACAGTCATTGGGACAGGTTTTGATGCTGCAATCTTCTCCAGCAAAACCATCATGGCAAACACACTTGCCATCCACACACTTTCCACGCTCATGACAGTCATTGGGACAGGTTTTGATGCTGCAATCTTCTCCAGCAAAGCCATGGTGGCAAATGCACTTGCCGTCCACACACTGCCCATGTCCATGGCAGTGATGGGGACAGGTCTTGATGCCACAGTGTTCTCCAGCAAAGCCATTATGGCAAACGCATTTGCCGTCTACACACTCTCCGCGTCCATGGCAGTCATGGGGACAGGTCTTGATGCTGCAGTCTTCTCCAGCAAAGCCAACTTTGCAAATGCACTTCCCGTTGACGCATCTGCCACGATCGTGACAGTTATTGGGGCAGGAAAGCTCAGAGCAGTCGTCACCTTCATATCCATCATCACAAATACACTCACCGTTGACGCACTGTCCCCTGTCATTGGGGCAGGAAAGGCAGGAAAGAATGCTGCAGTCCTCACCCTCGAACCCAGGATCACATATGCACTTCCCATGCCCTCTCTGCCCTCTCTGATTGCAGTCATTGAGGCAGGTTAGCTTGGAGCAGTCGTCTCCGCTGTAGCCAATGTTGCAGACGCACTGTCCATTGACGCACCTGCCACGGTGATTGCAGTTTTTGGGGCAGGGAAGCTCCCCACAGTCCTCCCCAGTAAAGCCCTCTTCACAATAGCAGGTTCCATTGTCACAGCGGCCACGGTCGAAGCAGTCATTGGGACAGATGAGCTCGGAGCAGTCAAAGCCCGTCCAAGGCTCGTCACATACACATTCGTCATCCACACAGCGCCCCCTGCCTAGGCAGTTGTTTAGGCAGTTGGTCAAACTGCAGTCCTCACCAATGAAGCCCTCAGCACAGATGCAAGCCCCGTCAATGCACTCTCCATTCTCACCGCAATCCACAGGGCACAGCTCGATGCTGCAGTCCTCACCGCCGAAGCCCTCGAAGCAGACACACTTGCCGTCTTCACAACGGCCTTGATCCTGGCAAAAGTTTGGGCATTCTGGCTCAGAGCAGTTGACTCCCTTCCAACCGGGCTCACACACACAGCTGCAGGTCTCAGTGCTGTAGTTTCCACGGCCACTGCAGTAGGGTTTGGTTGTGACTTCACCTGCTAAAGAGGTTTTTAGTCATTTTTGGCTTATGCTGAGAAACACTTTCATGCTGGTTTAGACAGAAATGGGACTTGTACAGAATTTAACGAGTCCTTAATGGTTCCATTAACATTTATTTTAGTACTTTTAAAGAATAAATACTAAAAAGCAAACATTTTCTTGGCAATTTCAATAATAAAATTTTTTTTTTTTTAAATTCAAGATGTGGGTAAATAAACGCAATCCAATAACTGCCATTTGACATGAACATCGCTAGAAATACGACACAAACAAAAAATGTGGTAACAATTCATTTAGATTTGTACAATACTACAGACAAAACACATAATGTGTGTTTTTAACTACATTGTCATATAAACAGTCCGTGAAAACTACATTGATTTGTGTCAAAGTTAGCTGAAAGCTGTATGTGTTTGATTTACTAAAATGAACCATTAAAAGAACCAGTCTTTACAGTCAATTGTAGCACACTGGTTGCGCTACATATTCATGATTCACTACAAAATTCGGATCATTTTTTTGTTTTGTTTTTTATATGAATGATACGGCTTCTAAATAAGAAGCAAAACCAATTTTGACAGGCTTGTTTCGAGATCATGGTGAAAAGCTAAGTAATGAGTCACTTGGAAGGATGAAATTAATCAAAATATCTTTATCAATGCAATAACTGTCAGACAGGGAATTTTAGGGATGGCTGATATGGAACTTAATATTGTTTGAACCAATGAAAGATTGCGGCAGGTTTGAGTTAATTTTTAGTGATAATTTAGTGACATCTTGTCCTAACCACAAGCAGGTTTGATTATGCAAGCACAAATGTGATACTAAAAGCCAATTGGCTTGGATGGTTACATCTGACAATGACTGGTTATGTATATGTCTGCATATATATGCAGAGGGGGGCAAATTTTATTTAGCCTGCTCCTTTCTCCTTTTTTTCTGCCACATTTTAGATGGAAGCAAATAGCTTTGTCATTTAGATATTCATTCTGATTGGTCAATTTAGTACTGAGCAGAGCCCTTTATGCTTTCAGCCTCTTCTAACCTTCATGTAGTGATTGAACACTGGTCTACTACATGTAAAAATAAAAATAAAAATATAAATATTTTCGATTGTATGTATCTGTGCGTTATGCGTATTAGTGGATAAAAACAAAGGTTAAAGGGATAGTTCCAAAAATGTACATTTTGTCATTGTTCACTTACCCTCACTTTGTTCCAAAACTGTTTACTTTCTTTCTTTTAAAGAAGATATTTTGAAAAATGTCTCAGTGTTTATTTTATTTTATTATTTACTTTTTGTCCATGATACAATGGAAGTCAAAGACCCAAATGTTTGGTTAACTATATTCTTTAAAATATCTTCTTGTGTTTTACATAAGAATGAAATGTATGCAGGTTTGGAACAACATGAGGATGAGTAAAGAATTTCCATTTCGGGGTCAGAGATTCCATTTCCACAACTTAGCATTGTTTTGTTTATTTAAATACATTTGTAATGAGGCTCAGCCTCCTAATGGACTACCAAAGTATCTATGCAATATTTGGCCTTACCTGTAACCTGAGCACTACAGCAGCCTGTTCCACTGGTGCACTGCTCTCTTAGACTGGATACCTCTGCCTCCAGCATTTCCAGCCTGTTCAGAAGATCCTTCAGGTCAGGCATGTGGTTATCACAACCGCAAGCTTGCTTAGGAATATTAATCCTATGCGTAAAAACAATCTGATTCTCTCCGTCCATGGTGTGTTCTATGTGTTGGTCAGACTGCAGATTGGCCGGTTTTGGCTTCACTGGTGTTGTTTCAGGTGAATCCAAGTCCACAGAGCACAGGGATCCAGAGGGAACGTTGATGTTGTATACATGGTTAAAAACCACAGGCTGATCAGGACTTGGGAGGGTCAAGTTCTCAGTGGTCGGTGACAGTGATTCTCTTCTGTGTCTAATTACTCTTTTCACCAGGCCAGCACTAGAGAGATGAACTAACAAGGCTACTGCCACACAGGCCAGTAGCAGGCCTCGCATCCCCATGATGATTTGCTCCTTGACTCTTCTTACTGGTGTGATTGTTCAAACTGTTTTAAGATACTGGAGATGTGGGTTTGATCCTGTAAAATGGAATTAGAACAGTCACTCAGATTGCTTTTACACATTTCATTCTAATGCATGTCCAGTGTGAATCCAGTCTCAAATTGCACTTACAAAATGGAAAATGAAACATACATTACATAAATAATGAAAAAATCAGTCATTAAATGAATCTTAAAAACATTTACAGATAATTCTAATACTTCAGCAATATTTCTTAAGCACAATTAAAAACAACAGACAAAATGAATGTTAATTTAAATAAATCATTGCATCTTAAATACACATTTTAAAACAATATTAAAAATAAAATAATATGAAAATATGTAATTTATTTGAATGAAAAAAAATCTAAGGTATGTAGTGTATTTGTATCATAGACTTTGCATAGCAAATCATGCTAACAGACATAAGAAAAACAAAAAGGAAATGTTTTAATCCTCGACTCGTGTTTCCTTTCCAACCAGAATGAATTATATTCTAAAATTATAACTAAAGCAAACCATATCACACTAGGGAGTGTTCATATTCAGAATAAAATTTCCAGCCAAAAAACAAAAAAACACAATTAAGCATACATGCCAGTCAGCAACACTGCAGGATAGACAGACACTAAGTACAACTCAGGTTATAGTTGCCTTGGTTTCCACAAAGATCAGCTCTGGCCAATGAAAGCAAGGCAAACTTCAGCTCAGGAGCGAGGGCTCCAGCAGTGTTTCCTATGACAGGCTGCCATGACACACAGCAGGCAACACCTGAATCTGAGGAGCGTACTCACCTCTCTGACGCTCTGCCTACAGCCCATGCTGACAGATTAATACTCGTGCAGAGGAGACCATCTGCAGCACTTCCGCTAGTGTGGGTGTTCAGAGTTCACGCTTCTCATAAAAGTTAGCATTCTTTGACCATTCTCCAGACAGCAGCAGAGTTATGCAATAAAACACAACACTTTCCTCATTAAAAAGTTAGAAGTATAGTTTTTGCAGGGCTCGGGAGGCTTGTCACCTCACCAAGTGCAATGGTCTGTTACAAATTTAATTAAAATAAAATGCCTGTAATGCCCTTTCAAGCATGTTACTGTGCTGCATTATTGGGTGTAACAGGGAGATTGAGGATGTCTGTGTTTAAAGAGTCCTGACGCGCATGTCATATGGTCACATACTTGGCAACTACAGGATTGTAGATTTAGTTTTCCATATAGCTGTTTTCCTGAATGTCATGAAAACCAAATGGGATCCATTTAAGATGGAAATAACCACCTTCTCAAAGTGCTGACACACTGACTTTTCAATACCATAAAATACCCAATATTTATGTCAAATTAAGTACATGTGTGCATTTTTCAGCCTGCACCTTGCCTAGCCATTCAAACACATTTAACCCCTTAAAATTTATTATTTTAATTAGATTTTTTAAAAGATTCTTTATATTTTACAATGCTGAATTTGACATAACAGAGATCACTCAAAATGTACAATTCTTTAAACATTTCGAAAATATTTTTAAGAATGCTTTTGTGCATTAAATGAAAGTCAGTGTGGTCAATGACAACACTGACTGGACCCCATTCACCGCAGACACAAAAAATTTTTTTTTAATTTAATTAAATTAAATAAAAGAAATTTAATTAAATAATAATAAAAAAATAAAATAAAATTAAATAAAATTAAATTAAATAAAATTAAATAAAATTAAATAAAATTAAATAAAATAAAATTAAATTAAATATCTTGCAAAATATCTTCTTTGTGTTCCACAGAAGAAAGAATGTCATACAGGTTTGGAAAGATGTGAGGGCATCTAAATGATGACAGAATTTTTTTTTTTTTTTGGTGAATTATACTTTAAGGCAAACACTCCAGTCCTTCAGTAGCAAAAGAGCAATACAAAGTGGTTACACAGATCATAATTTTGTCACGGCTGCAGGGGGCTGACCCAAAGCCACAGCTTGCAAGGTCAATAGCAGGTAATATCTTTTCAGGATCTGTTTAGTAAGTGGAGAGCTCGCTTTGACATGTGATTAACAGGACTGACAGATGAGCTCCAGCGAGAGGGATCCCACGCTGCTGCCGCCCATCCGTGATTAGACAGACAGGGATGAGCGCTTCTGTGATGGAGCGCTTAAGTGGGGCTCGATGATGGGAGACTCCCGATCTGGACCCTCGGGGCGAAGGGGACCTACTCAGCTTCTTGTTCCTCACATCTAAACCCTAGGATTAAATCAGCAAAATAGGCAGAAAATTGCTTTGAGTCGCTTTGCGGTTTTAGTTCTGGATGGGTAGCTGGCTTTTTCACTTTGAAACCTGGCTTGTCGCCACAAAAATCGAAGAAAGAAAATGACTTTGAAAGACCAAGCTGGTCTTTGTGTGAGCATTTGCCCTTAACCCCTGGCGAAGGTGGACTGTAAATGAGTGAAAAATTAAATATGAAGTATAATGAGGACAGCTTGGCTTCATGGCAGCAATGATGGATATGCTAGCCTATGAAAGAATTAGCAGTTATTAACATTATATTGGAAAAGATTTCTTCTTTTTTTTTTTGCATTTTGAACAGCGAGAAATAGACAAAGCCAGTCTCTTTTATTAGAGCTCCATCAATACAGTGCTGAGCTCAGAACAGTATGCTAATGCTGCTGCTTACTGGCACTTTCAGATAAACCAGACACAAAGTGACTGCTGCTTTCTCATGCCAGGTCTAGTTTTTATACATTGTTACTTTCTCAGACTCTGGCTGGGCCAGTTGGCTTCCGTGTGTCTAATGTGAGAGGAATTTCAATGGGAGGTGAACCTGCTGGCACACATATTTAGTGCCAGTGATCTAAATTGGTCCTGCGTTGTGCTAAGTGCTGAATGCTGACTAGAGCGTTTGAAAGGCAGAATACCTCACACAGAGACCAGATGAATACTTTTGTAAGTCATAAATTATAGTGACAGTTAAAACGATTCTTCCACCACACCAATGTGCCACAAACAAATTAGCTTACTTGCTATTTGTTAAATTAGAAGTTTGCAGCTCCTCACATAATTGAGCAATTAGCACGTTAGCGGTTTGGGACCGTGGCATAATTAGCTGTGATGCATACTACATAGACATAAAACATAAAAGGAATATGGCAAAAACCAGATCACAAAGTACAAAACATATTATTATTGTAAAGTGGAGGGGAATTAGTAACACATTTTATTGAGATGACAACTGTTGAAGTGTTTGAAATAAAATAAAATAAAATCTAGGTTTTCTTCCTGACTTTAGAGGACTGATGAGGTGGTAAATTATCTGTTAAATAGCCGGTTATTGAACTGTACAAAATGCTGTGGTTGCATTAACAGTTCATTGTTCAGTTTCATATTCAATGATTAGAGATGACATTCATCCACAGTCTGTTGAACAGAGGGGAAGCACAACTCTTCCACAGTTTATTCCTATGAAATCATCAAGCAGACTCAGTTTTGTAGGTCACCCATGACAGAAAGCACTTGCCTTCACTGGGACGCAGCCTTAATATGGGTCGCTCGCAGTAGTGCATGAATTGGTATTGTCTAGACTCTATTCACCTTAATAGATGTCATAAAATGCCCTGACAGGTTGTTTAATACTGGGAAGGAGTCAATGATGAAAAAAATATTTCTCCCAGAGGTATGCCATACACACTGTATCATTCCTCCACCGGTGCAGGTCAAACTTAATTAAAAATCAATATGATGAAATTGAGTAAATACTTCTTAATCCAGTCAGCAAAGCAGTAAACCTGCTGAAAGGTGTCTGATCTGTGGCGAAAACCCCAAAAATGCTGATAAATCCTTATTAAAAACATTACAAATATGAGTATGGTGTCATTGAGAAGTGGATGCTTATCGATGGCATGGTTTTCCAAGGTCATAATCAGACAGAGGTCTGCTGAAACCAGCACCATGAAGCAGCTCATAATCATCCAACACAGAGATGGATTTCCAGACCAGCTCAATGGTGTGTGCTCTCAGATCGATGGCAAGGCATAAAGCCACTGTTATTGTTTCATAAATGGATTTGTAAGTCATCGCCTTCCTGAGCAATGCTCATTTAGGAGGAGTAGCTCAGTTGACCATTAGACCTTTCATTTTATTCTGTTCTTTCTTTCTATAGTTCTGCAGTTCTTCTTCTTTCTTACTGATATTTTTCATCTGTCTGACATCCTGTTACTTTTAAGCTGTGATGTGAATGCAGAATGTGCATTGTGACTGTCCACTGGCCTCAAACGAGCTGATGATTGTCTATGCCTCGTTACTCTATTTTCCTTGGCTTGTCTGTGCTTCAAAAGGAAGTCAGTCATGTCTTGCAGTGGGTTCACTGAGCAGATTCAAACAAATGAATATGTCTGGCAATCATAAACACGCAGACGTGCTGTCTCACCACTGTATGTTCAATGTGAGCTTAAAGGTCTCTCAAATGCCACATAAAGTGATCTCTCACCGAACGCATTCTCTTGGCATTTCACCCACCGGTGGATTGACAGCAAGGTGTGAAACCAAAACCTAAGAACATACGCCACTGTGTATTATATTTCCAGCAATGCCATTCTCATAATAATGAGATAAAGTAATTATTAATCTTGCATCTGATTTCATTGCCAGAGTTTAAAGGTATTTCTTCTTTAATTCAATTTTAAACAGAAACCGGCATGCTGAAATTTTCTGTTTTTATTACTGATCATTCCATTCCTGTGGGCTATTTTTTATCTAGTAGAGGCATAAGATTACATGCAGACTGATAAGTGAAAGGCAATGCAGGTTGTTTTCACAATGAAAAAGCTGGGTTTCATGACAGTCGAGTCCCATTTACAGAGCTCTAATGATGCTGGCAGATCTGATTGCACCGATAGGAGGTGTGTGTGTGTGTGTGTGTGTGTGTGTAAGTGAGCGATAAGCCGGGCTGGTGTATGGGCAGAGATAGAGGTGTTTGCACTGCTCTGAATGGACCTGTGGTTCGCTGACATTGCTGCACTTTCACCAGAGAAGCATTCAAAGCGGACACGATAGAGCTAAGATGACATTGCCAAAGGTGAACTCCATCATGCTGATTAAGAAGAAATGGAAAGTTTAGGACATGTCAGTCACCATCTGAGACCAGAGACACTAGAGAAGTCTGCTGGGAATGAAGCTGAATAATTCCTGACTTCAGCTTCCATGTGTGCTTTCTTTTAAAGTCCAGATGGAAGGAATGAAGGAGGAACATTTGTTACTTGCTGTCTCATTTTACATTTTCAGCACTGGTGACCCCGTGTTTATTAGCTTAACCTCTGTTACAGCCAGAAAAGCAGCCTCATATGTTCAGACCTTAAAATTACAAACTCCTGCTATTTCTGACTCCCATTTGTCGCAACAAAATTCAAACACTATTTCTGCATCATGCAGACAGTGCCTCGCATATTGGTCTTAGAAAGATAAATTTGTTTTACAATTTTTTGTTTTCTAAAGGATATATTGTGGTCTGGCAGGAACTGCAAAGAATAAAAGACCGTATTTTAATCCAGAAGTCAATTTGCTACAGAGTAAAAAGACTTATTTGAACATGGAGGTCCTTTTTCATAGGCACAAAGCAATCCCTTCCCAAAATGGAAAGCTATTGATCATTCTTTCCTGTTCTAGAAAAAGAATAAAAGCTAGTATGTTTTTTGTTTGTGTTTAACAGGAAATTGCTTTTTCTCCAATGCCAAGAAATTTTGTGACATGATCAAGTGTGATTTAGCATGGCTGTTCTCTGAAAAAAGACCTATAAATTGCATGCTGCCAGATCCAATTACTTACACTACATACCTATAGTAATTAGCTTCATCACAGTATGATCTTCTGGGACTGAGCAACAAGCTCTTTCAACTTATTGACCCTATTGAACGTTTTTCCTCCTTCTGGAAAGAAAAATCTGTTTCCCACACTGAAATGCAAGAATATTGACTGGGAGATTAAGACATCTATTTTAACTGTTCATATTGGAGGCAGAATTGTCATCAATTCAGATACTCTGATTCTCTTTTACAACATCCCAAACTCTTCTGCTAACTTAAAACCTTCCTTATCCCGGGTTTGTAGTGATGAATGCATTCTAGCATGCAGGGTCACTGACAACTAACCAGAGTTCCTCACTTCTGAGGAAGACACGTGGGCTCATCTCTTGGCTGCCATCGATAGGGACACTGTCTGTGCTTTGAGCTCATGGTTTCCTAGCCATGTTACATTAGCATCAGACAGCCATTAAAACCATCTGGGGCTGTGACACTTTAACACACTGAAGTCTACTGAGGAAATCTTTGTTCACTGATGCCGACAAATCATTCTGAATGCCTCTGTGGCTAATTTTGAGTGTGGAAGAAAATAATCCTTCTTTACAGAGCATTTTTTCAAAGAGACTGACAGACAGACAGACAGACAGACAGACAGACTGAAAAAAAGAATGAAAAAATACCTTTTAAAAGTGAAACTTGACAAAGCATCATAAAAACATTGAGTAACTTTGTTCATTTTATTTATCTTTATTTGTCTGCCAAAATAACTTAATGAATTTTAATTATCTTCATTTGGTTGCTTTCCTTGGCAAAATATTGATAAATGTGATTAATTGTGATTAGTTAATTTGTGACTAATTAATCAGCATTTCATGTAATTAATTAAATTACAATATTTAATTGATAGACAGACCTATAATAGACAAACAAATTGATACAGAGATGGAAAGATAGACAGACAGACAGACTGACAGACAGAAAACCACAGGAGAACACAGAGGGTCCAATAGCCGCTCCAAGTGCATTGCCAGGCCAGGAGCAGAGCTGACAGCTGTTCAAACAAAGGCTAGTTTCCCACTCAGCTTTGTTCTGAGTGGCACTGTCAATGAATACACTGCACATAGCATCATAAAACATTTAAACACTACGTCTAGGCAACAACCATGTGTGGTTGGCACTTCTAATGTCTTCAAGATAATGATGGCATAGAGCGCTGAGGAGATTTGAACAACCCAGGAGGCATTGACATCACACAACAAAACAGATCAAATATTAGGGCTATTATGAAATAGGAATGTTTAATGTGTTCAGTCGCATTCGGAGAACAGTCATATCACATTTCTTTTTCTCAAAAAAGAACTTAAAGTGAAGAAAACTTAACCAAGAATCCTTTATGCAGTCATGAGTTTTGCCCCTCAATGCTAACGACTAAGTTTCCTTCATTCTCAGAAGTACCGCCCTCCCATTTAGGACCCTTGGATCCAGGGGGTCTCTGTCATTGACCCCCACCTCGTTCACTATACGCACTTATAAGGCATCTCTCAGCCCCTGCGTTTCCCAGCCTAGACCCCTCCCCCTACCGCCACACACACGCACATCTTCTCATCACCTCAGTTTCTCCATTCTCCTAAACGGATACAACCCATCAGCAAGGACAGCGCACTGATCCGAGAACCGTTCAACCCCCACCGCGGATGAGGTGAGAGAATAGAACTGGCAGCTGACAGCGGAGCAACACAAGGAGCAGCAGACTAAAGAGAGAAGCGCTAACACAAACCAGCTGCTGCTCTCCCTGGCTGGAGAGAGGACAGAGATCCTGGAAAGGGATAACACCGTCAGCCAGGTAACAGACACCGGCTGACCCACAGCTGTAGACAAGCCCACCACGTGTAGAGTTACGCCAAACTATCAGCGCTCAGAGCACATGCTACTGTATTCCCCCCTCAAGTGGAGCTGGAATAATTGCTGAGCTTAAAACAAATGTGGACCACTTCCCCTATAAACCATAATGAGCAGCCTAAAGCAAGCCAATGCATCAGCCTTAGAAGTCCCTAGCTAACAATTACACTGTCAGAAAACATGTGCAAAAACTGTACCTTTAGGGGTACAATAGCTTGTCAATGGGGCAGTACCTTTAAAGGTACATCTTTGTGCTACATTTACCCCTAAAAGGAGCATTACTACTCTAAGGTACTAATATGCACCTTTTAGGGGTAGATAAGGTGCAAAGTTGTCCTTTTAAGGGTACTGCCTCAGTGACAAACTGTTGTACACCTAAAGATAAAATTTTTGCACAGTGTACAATATGACTCTTGTAATACAACAGTATTACGAAGTGGCACAACATCCTTTAAACCATAATTCAGATTTAGCATTTAATAACACTCATGAAGAGCACAGAGTCATTTAACATGCAAATCTGTCACACTAACAGGTAGATGGAAGTGACTTGAAGCATCACAGCTTACCTTAGTGAGACCAATCCTCCTCTACAGGCTCAGAGACGTGCCTCCGTCTAGGGAACTGCGATGTGTTGCCAAACGAAAGGTTAAAAACATCAGGAACTCTTGAAGTGCTTTTTAATTTTCTTTAGACAGATGACAGTCCTGTCATTCCCTCCTGTCTCTCTGCTCTCAGTGAGAGTGCTCCATCCAGCCAGTGTATGTCTGCTGATGCTGAGAGAGGGAATGAGTGAAAGAGAGAGAGAGGGAGGGAGAAGTCCCTTTCTTTTAAACAGTAGACACTTTGCGGTCAGACCCCACTCCCACCTACCACTCTCTTATATGCACCCCCCTCCCCTTTCTCCCTCTGACTGGAAGCTGAGGAGCTGAAACGGGATGCCTCAAGGCTGAGTCGCAAACTCATACACACACACACACACACACAGAGAAGGAAGGAGGAGAAAGAGAAAAAGAGAGAGACCATTTACTATAAACTGGAGCAGCCAATGACTGGATGAAAGGGATATATCCCAAGCTGCATTAACATACATTTCAGATTAGAATTAACGGAGGATAAAGGAGGAAGGACCTTGTGTGTTTGATGACGAGCATGACACGGCGGATGATGGGATTATGTACGGTGATCAGCATAATCAACCTTTAATCCCCCAAATCTAACCTCGCCATGGAAAAAACAAAACAAAAAGAGTTGTTTTTGTCAAGGTTGGTTCTCCCTTTTTTAAACCTTAAACACCTCTCCTAAGTGGAACCATCTCTGTGCCGCAACCTCCGGCTTTTCGTGCTCCCCTGCGCTTCTGTAAATACTCGTCCTTTTCAGAGTGTCAGGTTATTCACCTTTCCATCTGCACTACCCACAATCACCTCCCCCCACGTGCACTGCAGGTAGAAGAACATCTAACCAAGCCAGCTGCAATTACCGGACTATACGGCACCCGGCGTTTTGTGCAAACGGCAGCTTTTCTTGAAATAAGCATAGAACAAAGAGCCAGCAGATCGGATTTTTCACTCCAGGCTTCCTCGTTTCAAACGAGAAACATATTTCATTAGCGATGAGATGATGTCTCTCGTCGTGTCAAAAATTGACCTTTAGTCCTCTTGGGGGGCAACACGGAGGCACCCGTGGAGACGGAACCCCCAGAGAGGAATCAAGAACGTTTTTTTCTGGTGAGAGAAAATCAACCCCCATCAGCCTGTGCTCAATAAATCATGAATCTGTGATGATATGCCCGGTCTACATGGGATTTTAATCTAGGTCTCATTTCAGAGAGAGAATCACTACATTTCAAATCAGGCCCAGGCCCAAGTTGTTGTTTTTTTCCTGTCACGAGGCAAAAATTATATCAATTTCAGGTTCGCCTTGAATGGAAAAGTACAATGCGAGGAACAGAGATGAACAGGCATAGGATATTTCCCAAGGTGAACTCCACAGAGAGATGCTCTTGGTAATGGTGTGCATGTTTGTGTTTTTCTGCAAATGTACAGTATATATGTGGTGGGTGGTGAATGGAAAAGCAGCCAGAGTGAGATGTCAAGTCCCAATCCTTTATAAGAGACTTTATGAAAGTGCATTAATATAACGCCCACCATAATGTCATATATCCAATCAGTATGTCTATCTATTTATGTCTGCCGATATGCACAGAACATAAAACAACTGAAGTGCATGAACATCAGTGAGTGAGTGTGTGTATGTGTACACATCTTTTTTTCTCAGGGTCTCTATCTTCCTGAGAACACTATAACCCCTCTCCATCTGTTCGTACTCTCACCTTTCTCTCACACTCTTTCCTTCACCGAATCACAGCGCTTCGCAGGGAATAGCAGTGGGAGCGGGAGCCCTCCAGGTTCGTCAGGCGTCCCTGTGCTGTTGACATCCACGGGAAAATGCATCCACCAACTGATTTCCCAGATGACAACGGTGTGCGCATCGTTTCCCAAACAGCCAATTTCTTCTAGCCGTAACCAGACATGCTTGTGAGAAGATGTTTAGACTCCTTGCAGTGTTTAAAAAGAGGCACATTTAGATCCTCTGAGTCAGAGGGGAAAAACAGGCAAACACTGGTGTCTGCTTGTTGGGAAATCTACTTTGAAATTGATTAACTACTCATAACTCAAACTACAGTCAAGTTACCTGCATGCAGCTCACTGAAACAGCAGCAACAGCATGAACATACATACTGCACAGACATAGACCTCCTCATCATGCACATATACAATTAACTATTATATTTTTTATAATAGCTATAGTTAGCTATACTACAAGCAACTAACAAAAGAACATTAAAGATATAAAGGGCTTATATTTCTTTAAGCTAAAAACACAGTGTTGCTTGGTAAATTTATTTTGTTTTAAGGATTTTTAGATATATTACTAAGGAAAACAAGTGAAAAAGATTAAAACACTTTAACGCTGGTGTATGCAGTTTCTGCGTTCCTAGTGTCACTTAGTGGAACTACAAAAATAAACAACCTTTGCAAACGCCCCTTTCATGTGTCATGTCTCACTCACCTTAAACAGCACAAACATAGCTCTTACAGGTCTAAGTCAAGGCATGAGTCAACAGATAAAAGTAGACTGCTTTCAATTAAAGGTCCAACATATTTGAAGTTTAGCTCACTTGTCGAGTACAAACTCTGCAAGTTTGTCGTATCGATCTTCAAATTTTGGCTTGCACTTCTGTAAAGTCTCTTTTTCCACACAAGTTAAACACTCTCTGGCTCAGCTACAGTAGCCACGCCCCAAACTCTCGTTATTGGCTGCGCAGAGGTATGCAAAAACACAGGTTGACAGACTGGCAACTCATTAAACATTGGATGCAATAATTGGACAAACATTTTACGGTCCATTTTATGAGCCTTCCACAGAAGATATATATATATATAAATATTATATTTGAACCCCTTTAATTATTGATTGCTATCAGGATGGAATGAAACTTTCAACCAGCAAAACAAAAAATGTTTCAACACTAGCTTTAAGAAGTCAGTTATTGGAGTGTAAATATATTCATATCTGATTCCTATCTCATTTACAATCTGATCAGAGCTGTTTTTCTGACACACAAAAAAAGTGTTTGAATGAATAATCAGCATCAAACTTCAGCAAATTAATTGACAAAATTAATGGCAGCATTTAACAAAATATTTCAGGATCCAAAATAAGGGACTCAAATAATTGAATTGTTGATTGTATTTTTATCAGTTCATTTAAAAGTACTGACATAACTAACCTAACTGATTAACAATTATTAATTTTTGACTTTCCAACATTAAACAGGGAGAAGCATTTTTGGTTATCTCAGCTCACTTGGCAGTGAACCTGTATATGCAAACAATATGCCATGAGAAACAATTTGGTCTTGTTACTTTGCTACTTGTTGGAAAGAGAAACTTGTTACTGGAATAAAACAGTATTGGTTTAAAAACAACGAAACTACTGCCAAACATCAGAAAAATGTAGCTCCCAATGCTGGTCTGTTGCTTACAGCTTTTAAAAGAGCTTTTTCAACCATTGCTTAAACACAAAGCAACAGGGAGTTGCACTATACTTTCATATAATTCTAAACAGATAGTTTTTCTTACAAGTGTCTCGGTACATATTTTTCCACATTACTCCACATTTGCTGGCTATAACCGAATCTACCCAGAGGTACGGGCTCTACAAATTAAAGAAAAGGTTGCTGAGAGCACAGCTCGCATTGAGTTCATTTACCCACGTAATTGGTGGCAGTCCATTCGCAGAAAGAGCGAGGACTTGACGGCTAGCAGGGCACTTTCTATCAGCTCAAGTGAGATCTAATTATGAGAGGAGAAGCCCTGCCTGCGGCTGGGTAAAGTGTCAGAGGAGAAGGGAGCAATGATGAGACAGGACTCACAACTCACAGTCACACTCATGACCCGGACAGACCTGTTTACCTCATTAAAAATTAATTCACAGGTATTATTGGCTTGTGTCCCATGCCCTCCCTCTCCTCCCAAGTCTTAGCTTTATCTATTATGCAGGAGGGAGCCTGTGCGGGACGGGTTAACTGAGGGAAGGTCATTTAGACAGCTCGTAGAAGTTACTCTTGGAGCGCTGCAACCCAGACTTAGCCACCAGGTCTGGGAAATTAAAACACTAATGGCCTGTGTGAGTGTAAAAAGCATAGATTAAGTGGAAGGAGAACCAGTGAAATGGCCATCAGTGAAATGGGCCTGCGGTCATAATTGGGCATGATTCATAATTTATAAAGCAAAGATAGGGATTGGCATGAATAAAGAACGGCACAGGAAGAGGTGAAAGGCTATTTTCTACCCTCCACATTTATGCATTAATCCAGCATAGGCAATGCAGTGAATTATGGTCATTAGGCTTTGGGAAATGAAAAACAGCCATTACGGCCCTCAAGGGTAGCTTTTTACAAAATACCGAGACCAAAACAAGAGAGGGGATGAAAGAATTGTTGCAGACACATGTGATTTGGTGATATAGTGAAAGAGAGTGATGTTTCGGACCACACACTGGTCACCATCGCTGTGCATGTACATAAAAAGCCTGTAAATTTCTCAGGACAAAGACAGCAGATTAGGCTTTTCGGTGACCCCGGTGACCCGACAACCTCTGAGGGGTTCAGACCTCAGGAGCCACGGAAATTGTGTCAGACTTTGCTTCTGCTTTTGTTAGCAAATAGTAGATGAGCATCTCTCTGGCAGCGAGGTATGTGAAGATCCATAAAAATGAAAGATTAACATGCGCTCTGAGAAACTGCACTACAAATACCATGTAAGATCACACTACACTGCATTATCTATTGTTTTTACCACACATACTGAAGGTCTTTTTATCCGTTTGATGATAAGATGGAAAAGAATGAGGCGCAGCCTCAAAGAACATTTACTATCGTTCAGGGTAATTTAGAGAGCATAATCTGCATCTTTCATTCTTCTTCGGTTCTGTATGTTTTTACAAAGACATGGTGTTTTTTTTTATTCAGCAGGGAAATGGAAATGCCTACACATTCCTTTAACACCAACAGCACTGACCAAATTATAGAAAAACAAATAAGCCGTATCCTTCAGAGCAGCTCACGACATTGTGAACCCAGTGAAAGCAGTGGGTTGGGGGTTGACAGAGATATCAGTGCTCAAAGAGGATTCTATAGAGTGAATAAGAGATGGACGAATGCTCGGTTCCCATAGCTCCTAAGACACAGGCAGCACAAACACTCATACATCATTAACATTTATGCAAATA